CTATCAGCTGCTGGTAGATGCTGGCAAGCATAAGTTGATAGATTCTACCACAACACTCTCTGTTTCCGGTATAGTCACAAAGACGCCGCCCCTCAGTCCCGTGTACTGCACGACGGACGCTTCTAGTCCCTACGCGTCTATCATTCAGTCCTTTCCGGATGTCTTTAAGCCAAGTCGTTGTGTCCCTTGTGTGACTTCGAACGTTTCTCATCACATAACGACGACTGGCCCGCCAGTGTTTGCGAAACCACGGCGATTATCCCCGGAGAAACTGCGTGCTGTAAAAGCCGAGTTCGAACACATGCTTGAAATGGGAATAATCAGACCATCCAACAGTCCATGGTCTTCACCCTTGCATGTGGTACCCAAGAACAATGGCATGGACTGGAGGCCTTGTGGTGACTACCGAAGGCTCAACGCTAAAACGATTCCAGATCGTTACCCAGTCCCTCACATTCACGACTTGACTGCATCTTTAAAAGGCTCGGTTATCTTCAGTAAGCTTGACTTGACGCGTGCATATCATCAGATCCCGGTTCATCCTGATGATGTTCCCAAGACAGCCGTCATTACACCGTTTGGTCTTTTTGAGTTCCTCCGTATGCCTTTTGGTCTTCGCAATGCAGCACAAACCTTCCAACGTTTTATTCACGATGTTTTACGTGGACTCGATTTCGCCTATGCCTACCTAGACGATATACTAATCGCTAGTCCTGACGAAGACACCCATTTTAACCACTTGAAACAGGTTTTCGCCAGACTGTCAGAGCATTCGATGACAGTCAACCTGGCCAAATGCCAATTGGCGTTCGTTCACTAAAATTTTTGGGACACGTTATCGACGAGCAAGGCATTCGCCCACTACCTGAAAAGGTACAGGCGATCCAAGACTTCCCAGTCCCAGCGTCACTTAAAGCTCTGCGTGTGTTTCTGGGTATGGTGAGCTATTATCGTCGCTTCGTTCCCCAATGTGCACACATTTTGACTGCACTGACCGACCTGCTGAAAAGTAAATGTAAAACTTTCAGCTTGACTCCGGAGGCACTAGAAGCATTTCGCAAGATCAAAACCGCAATAGCAGACGCCACGATGCTGGTGCATCAAGACGTAAACCTACCTCTTAGCATTGCGGTTGACGCCTCTAACACGGCCATTGGAGCTGTGTTGCAACAACTTTCGGATCACACTTGGATCCCAGTTGCATTCTTCTCCGGAAGTTATCCACCTGCGAAATGCGGTACAGCACTTTCGGCAGGGAACTGCTCGCCATATATGCCTCAGTGAAACATTTTCGTCATTATTACATTTACCTTAAATACATAGCTCCTTTAAATACATTGCGTATCAGTTCTTTTGATTTGTGTTTTGTTACCAGTACTTACACGTTAGGTAAAGTGCTGGTTAAGCAGGTAGTAAAGCACATCAAATTAAGTAGGGTTGATCAAACGTTGTGGAATTGTAACACGCACCCCTACAAACCCATCAAGGCAAACGGTTACAGCTCCCGGACAGCCAAGTCAGTGGACAGTTCAGAAACTGCCAGACAACTCCTGCCCTGAGGAACAACCACCTCGGTCTCAAACCCTGGACCTGTTTTGGTGAGGTATCGCAAGCCATGAGTGGCAGCAGCAGTGGACGAGATGTTCCCATGAAAACTTACACCGCAAAAGGTCGGTGAATCATCAAGTGAACTTTGCCTTTCTCCCTAATGTTTCCATGTCCAGTGGCAGCCTCCTTGAACAAAGAAAGGAAGCTGAAGAACCGTGTCTACTATATAAAGGCATCCACTCACCATATGGGAAGCCCTCATCACTGACGGCAGCGTTGGGTTCGGCAAAGGAAGGAGGAGACGTCCTGTTACTAACACACATAGGTTAGCGACCGATCAGCTAAGACGGGGTGTGGACGAGACAGGGCACGATCAGCAAGAAATTTTCCTCACGGAAGACTGTGACTGAAAAGATCCGCTGTAATGTCTACTCGAGGTATTCCGGTGCCAATGACAGAAAACTCAACGGGCAAAATGTGCGGGTCATACTGAGTAGGATGCTTCCGAAACTCATTTGTAGGCTCCCACATCATCCCACACAGGAAAGTGGTGTCCCCAGCATGACCAACAGAAATTACCATACTACTGGAATTGCCAGGCCCACACCGGACTTGCCTATTGCCTCGAGAAGTTGGGTTATAGAACCTCTTACGGCACCATGCGACAAAAACAACGGCTGCCTCAAGCAGTGTCATTGGAGTCAAATATAGTATGCTGGGAATTTCAACACCGCAACTCTCAGGCTGCAAAAGAACATTACACCGAGCCGGGAGTTCGGTTGAAACCAGCTGAATGCCATAGAAGACCAAATCTTTGAGACGAGATGAGGAACGATGCTCACTGAGCGGCAATCAGAGCAACATCAGAAGTGGACCGTATTCCTACAGGTAACTATTTAACAGGAGAGCACTTGTAGGTTGAGACTCCCCTCTGAAGTAGTGATCACGAAGTGACGATAATAATAGTAATATATATTTCATACAACAAAGGTTACATGAATACAAATCAGTTTACAGCTTTGATCACTTTGGTAAGTGTTGCCTTTGGCCATCAGGTGATAATTATCCTTCAGGAGCTCTCACCGTCTTTCTTCCCGAGGATGGTAGGCTACTTGGTGACGAACCGTCGCATACTGATAGTGTGGTGGCTTCAGGATTGGAAACTGCATACCTGCTGGTAACCAACAAAAATTAGCTAGAAACATGCTAAAGCAGACGAACTGTGAGGGCTTCCTTTTAGTAGCAACAACTCCTAGAAGATGGATAACTTGGCTTAAATGAACCAGTGAACACCTTTTTTAAGTCAGAGGGAAATCACTGTACAAGTAAAGGCTCTTCAGAATGGGGTCAAATCATGCAGTACACGATGCTTCAGAGAAATCTACTGAACGTCATGAAGCTGGAAAGTAGGAGTTTACTTCAGACATTCCTTGCACAAAAGCTTCGAGCCCACATCAGCTTATGAAGTCATATATTGTGCGTTGCTGAACGTTCAAGGCTGATAGCCCCTCCGGACAAAAGCTATCAGAATCTTCTGTACCACCTCCCATAAGCCAACCTTGCACACCGATAGTCTCAGTAGCCTCTTGTGTTGTTTAGAATTGAAGGGATTGGGACACGACGCGTAACTCCTGCTCCTAAAAGGCTGCCAAGGCTCTGTACAGAAGTACACCAGGGAAAACTGCGTTCACCTTTATTGCTGGTACTACTCGTAGACCACCCGTGACCCACAATGCAGTCTTCTTAAACACTCCTTCTATCTTCAGCAGCTATTATAGGAGCTGGACCTTGCCATTCAAAGGATTGGATCAAGAAAACCCCGAGTATTGAAAACCGTCAGCATTTTCAGCAGTAATGCAAGAAGTAATGGAAAGCATGGTTGATGCTGACATCAAGGTACACTTGTGGAGAAAGATGACCTTTAGGGGTCCTCACCCAATTTCAGAAAGGGTAGATCTTGCACTACGAAACGTCCGGGGCTCTTCAGTAAACATGTGCACCGAAACCATTGGATGCGTATCTGCGTGCCATTTGAATCCGACCGGAGCTGGAGCCACACGATACCTTCATCTTGAAAGTCACTCTGTTGAGTGTCAGGGAACAATAGCTATCCCGACCAGGAAGTTATCCATGGCAGCGAATTCTACACAGAGGTCGGCATTCTGTGATGAACCTAGAGCACGTCATCATACGGTATATCACTGGGCGCCGTTCTGTGTAGTTTGTTGTTCCTAATGTTCCCTGAAGTCTGATCCCTCGAATTTTTCCGTACAGTGGCGAAGTTAAGTTATAGAGAGCTTTAGGTCTGAAAGGAACTAAAGCACTCTGCAAGACCGCCTTGGAACACTCAAGGAAGGAGTGAAAAACAAAGTGCTGACGCTTAACATGGGCATCTTTGTACGTCGTGCTTCTGCTCCCTAGATTCTCACACTGTATCCTACACAGCTGTGCACTCACCGTTTTCGTGACACCAATGACATGGGTCTTATTTTCAGCGTAAAAGTGGACAACGGCTCACTTGACTCAGAAGACGTTTTCAACGCTCATAAGTACTACACTGTCACAGCATGCATTGGATGCCGTCCTATCGGAGCTCTTTGTCGAACTTTATAGGGCCAGCGTGCTATCTTACCTCGAAGACTACAATAGTGTTTCACCGTTTCATGAATATGAATACCAACAATTTGAACAAGGTCAAGTGACAGGAATCTTGAACCAAATTCTTAAGAGACCCAATGTATCTCGGAAAGACCAGACTAGCTCGTCTTTCCATCAAACGTTCACAGCTCTTTCTTTTTATTCCATCTATCGCCGCTGACATAACCTATTCTACCCCTCTTCAGTGAGAAACCACCTATCTCCTTCTTTGTCTGGCATTTATCTCTTCCCTTTCCTTCCCATCGTTAATATCACTACTGCTACTGATCTCCATTAGTTCTACAATGATTTCCCCCAATTGATTCCGTCTTCTAAACATTATCACTGGTGGATCTTATTCAATGAAAGTCCTTCTATCATTATTAATCGGCACACTCGCTCTAATTTTTTAGCTTCTTAGTTCATCTTTCTTCCTCCCACCCACTTCGTCCTCATCTAAGGTCCTTAGCCCTTTTTGTTCAATTCGAAGGGCCACCTGATGACATATTACTGGAACATATCTCGTTAGCACCATGTTAACAGAACAAACGGAATATATCGTGACAAATTTTTCAAACCCACAGCAGTTCGAGCTACAGCAGGCAAGTAACTAGTTACACTTTATTGGGATCTATCGAGGACCCAGAACTTCCATGCAAAACCCAACAGCCGGTGCGAATAATTCAGAACGAGGCTGTTATTATCAATAATGCAAAACTGTCTTGCGATATCTGGTGAAACGAATGTTGGATATGTTTAATTAGCTCTGCTCTCATACTTTTACAACAAGTGTATCGTCGTTGCATATTGGACAACTGAATGTGAGGCGGGGTATTTGGTTGCTGTCGTAACTCCTCAAGCTGTATAGAAACTAAGCGCGTCATTATTTCTATTTACCCTTCAATGAGGTAGCTAAGAAAAGCTGGAGATAATTAAGAGTATTATTGCCTCGAAGCCTTGGTAGATTCGTGGAACCGACATTCTGGAAAACACCTTATTACATTTTAATATGCTCCAAGCATCAGACCTCCTCACTCATCGCACTGCATCTGAATCAGATGACATTGGAGATGAAGTTGTGAGAACTATGTTTATGGTCGCATTCAAGCTTGAAGAATCTATGAGATTGGCGTATGATTCTAGTGATTTTACGTACGATGCAACAGCTGAACATTCTTCAAATGAGGAAGCATGTTACACTGAGTCGGATTCAGCAGATAACTCGAAAAATCCAAAACTTGAGTGAGTTAACTTGTAATTTGTTTTGTTGCATATGCTTAACTTAGGTTCGTTTCTACTTCCATCATCCCTACCGCAATCTCTTTTTTACCCTTTTTGGACTACCATTTCACCCTATTTCGTAAGATTCTCGATATAACTGACTTCTTTCCTGCTCTTCTGGAGTCTTTCTTGTTCTCTTCCTTCAGTTTCCTTTCCCTGCTTTTGTTTTTCTCCTTCCCTGCAAAGCACATTTTCAATTTATTATCTTTTATTACCAGTTCGAACAACTGTTTATTAATACGAAGTTTGAGGAACCCATCTGCACTATATTTCCTGAACAAATCATCTGTCTGGTTGAAAATACAAGCACCATCCTTAAGGTTTATCAGGACCTTCACAGTTGAATAAATCCAGAGAGCTGGAATCGCTAATCAAGACGTTGAAGCGAGCGCACTAAAGTAAATTGGTTTATACAAGCTTGCAAAACAGGTATTGAATATTAGTAGACTATTTTATTGGTATTTTACCAGGTCGGTTATTCATGATCGTATCGGAGGCGACGGACTTCAGGTTACTATACTGTATCCCTACCCATTCATTCTCATAGCTGTGACGATGTTAAACTGATGTAGGGCATGTGAAACACCATCCGCAATTTGATAGTGAGGTGTTTGGAGCGTTAGCTGTTGCGTAAAATTGAGCTCTCTTGTTGGTTTTTATTTATACAAACCTTTTTTGGATTTCATCGGTTAGAGTCCTAAAAATGGAGCGGAGTTAACCAATACCAAGTCAAATTTAGAAAACCCAAACAAGAATTCACTTTGTCTTAAGTAATTATAAATGGTCGATTGAACTACTATCCTCAGTGGGACATTTCAAGGCAATCGTTTAGAGTAAAAGATATAAATTTAGATCGTTTGATACCATTTTCTGGTAAACCTCTGTGAATGAAATCATAACAACATGGGTTTAATCTCGCTGCCTAGTCACTGGTTAATTATTTGAAAAAGTACTTACGCCATCTTGACACCTAGTGTCTCAGGTTATTCAAGCACGACTTTAGGCACTATTGTTCTGTTTAAGAGATTTTTTAGTTCCCTAAGTATTTTTGGCATTTCGGAAGATCTTTTTCTTTTTAGCACTGCTCACTACACAAAAGTATCTCTGTCAACTATATTAGTATTGTAGTTTTTCTTGTGGTTGCCGAATTCAAACCTACCTCTCAAATAGAGCAACGTTTGTTTGCTGACCGGTGATCGATTAGCGAAAATTCTGTTAGCCCTACTGTCGATGTTAACGTTTCAACCTGTGTTCAGCTGAAACATAAATACCAACCATTCTTGGGTATATTTTTTATATCACCATCTCTATGCTGACTCCACGAAATCGATAATTATCACTCACAAAAGTTACCTGGTCATTAACAATCAGATACACATAAATTACTCCACAATAACTGAAATTTCCTCAAGAGTAGCCGCACAATTTTTTCAACTGACTAATTTTAAAGGCGACAATAATTGGTCTGTTATTCTAAGTGTATCTGCTTCTTCAGAGGATTAGAGAACAACTGAAGTATCAAACCACTCTAAGTACGACGTCAGTAAAATCACAGTAATTGGTAGTTCATTGCGGTGATCAGCCTTTACCATTGCGAGCTGGTTTATTTACGAGGGACTAAAACAAACAGACCGTTGAGTAAAGGAAGTGTGCCTAGTCTCAGAAAGTGTATATATGATGTAGCTTGAATTAAGTGCACTGCCACTTACAATTTAGAATGTGGTGAGAGTTTATTTTTGTCCTATGCATCATGATTTTGAACTACTGGTTCACCAGTTCCTGGAATTCTGTTTGGATATAGGGTAACATTTGTAAGTCAAGTCACTGTTTAGAAATAACTTCGATTTGATTGGAAAAAATCGCACCGTATTCCAGTTGTTCATCGAGTGACCTTGAACTATCGATGATTTACTAGTAAGGTTCTTGACCATATTCGGAAGTACGATTAGCAAAGTTGAAAGAATGTGAAACATCAAACTATTTTCTTAAGTTTTCGGCACTGCATGCGAATTTCGATTTCAAATAATTTAAAAGTTGAATAAATATATTACAAAGACTTTCTTCTGGTTACTGAGTTAAGTTACCGGATGATGGTCGAAGCAAAAGGTTAGAGATTTCAATAATGTGAGTTAGAGTGTACTTTAGTTACACGTGATACATATATCAAGTCTTGTTAGGTAACGAAGCTGACAAAATATATTCTTGTGGATACCTTAAGTTACAATTCGACAGTGGTTGGGATGCTTTCCTCACCACCTGGATGCAGATTGTCGCTTCTGGACTGGGTTACTTTGATAACTCATTTGAAAATAGTCAGTGCAAGGGTTACATTTGTTGAACACTTCACTAACATGAAAAGTGGGGCCAGTCAAGAGGGGTTAGTGATTAGTGGAATCTGCGCACTGATACAAAAGGTCCAACTAACTAAATTAACCATCCTTTGTGTCGGTAAGATACCTGACTGCCTATTGGGTGGAGTGTATTGCACAGCAACTCGTTTTATTCTACTAGACAGCTGTGAACATATTCATTAAGGATACAGAACGTGAGAAGGCTTCAGATGTCGAATTATCATTGCTTTAGTAGTATTTTTTGTTTGGTGACCTAACGTAACAGTCAGTTTTAGAGAAAAGAGATGATGAGGTTGTGAACTTTCATTAGCTCAAGCAGTTGGGGTGTGTGCTACGTATGTCCAGTCACAGTCTGCTCCGTTGTACAGTGTCACCTTAAGTGACTAATGCTGGAAGAAATTTGATGGCGGCCACAGTGAAACAGCATCAACCCATGAAATCTTTGAATAGTGTTTGTTTGAGATGTGTAGGGAAATGTAGACATCTCAGTTAGGGTCGACTTAATAAATCAGATAGGTGGTCGGAGATTTAGGTGATATGGGTGAGAATCGATCCCACTGATACAAATACTACCTCACATTAATTTTGATCCTCGTGGTTTGTATTGCATTTTCTATCGATCATCTTAAACTGGATATGACCAACATAATCCCCCACCTTGTGTATTTTCGGCCGCAACTGAAATAACTAAATAAATCCTTGAAGAACTCACTAATCTAGGCACTCCGCTTCGGGATAATGGGTCGTGGGTTCGAACTTCATTGTTGGTAAAGTTTGAACAGGCAAATAGAGGCATCAGACTTAACAATAGGTGTCATCCACCCCTTAGGGCTTAGACATAAAAAGATTAGCAACAAAACCACAACTCTGTGATGGTATATATATAGGGCTTAGATATTGCTTCTTTACTTAAATTTCATATTGTATAAGGCCTTTCCACTCAGTACTACTTTGTTATCTATCACCTATTTTTATCAGAAACAACCAATACTTAAATCCCCACAAGCGGCATGATTTGGATTCACCTACTTGTTATATGGGTATGAAAACAATGCCATTTAGTCAACCACCGACAGTTATTAAGAAAACTGCAAAGAACATCAGTCCAATCAGTAACAGTAAGTGGGCTTGTTTATCTTCATTTGTTTTTTATGTAACTTATTTAATACACATTATTTGGAGTGGCATATATGCACAGCAAGCATATATATATATATATATATATATATATATATATATATATATATATATATATATATATATATAATATATATATATATATATATATAGCACTGCTCGACTGCATCTCGGTTGATAGTCTCTTTCGCGCTACTCAACTGAACGGCGTGATGAGGACTAAAATGAGTACTGAAACTCACTGCTGTTTCTATGTGATCCGTGTTTGCTCACCCACTGACTGCAGTGCATCCCCTAACATGGTGTCCACTGACCTCAACTCAATAGTAAACACAGATAGACCATATTGTTTTCACTTCTCACTAGAGAGAGTCGATGAAGGATTTTCACCCTTTCTGGGTGCGTTTTAGACAGTTATCACATGTTGGTTTGAGCACGCTAATGTGTGCATCTAAATGGGTATGGAAGAACTACAGGAGAAAGACTATGACGAGTGCTGCTTGAAAATGAGAGTGCTAAGGCTTCTTTTAATGAGAAACTGACTATACAGTTGTCAGCACCTGTGCAGAACAACATCACATCCAAAATAAGCCTGGTGCCATCTCCAGTCTTCTGTGAAAATAGCATTGAAGACGATAGCTAACTCTCAGGAAGTAGTTAGAAAGGACCAGGGGATCTCGACAACTTCTAGATTCATGCGAACGCATCGCTGAAGGTTCTGAATGCAATGAGGAACGCAACTAACTCAAACATAGACTGACGAAGAGTCTACGCAATAACCATAAATAGTGGTGGACAGCGAAGGTTAGAGAGATGGAAAAGACCGCGGTGACACTTAATAGCAGTTGGTTATTTCACCTTATCAAGGAAAATGCCGCTAAAAAGGTTAATTGTCAGTGAGAATATAGCGGAGAAAGGTGGGTCTGCGATTTGCTGGCATGGGGGACGACTAGAACGATTTGTGGGTCACTGCAATGAACAGTTCAACTAAACTTCAGCTACTATTGCATAACTTGCTGTCCAGTTGAATCATAAATGGAACATTGAAATAGGGCTTTCAACACTTGCAGAAGTTGAGAAAGGTATAAGTAGTCTGAAACGACGAAGAGCAGCAAGGCTAGAGGTACTTGAAGATAGTCGTGGGTTAGTGATCAGGCTGAGATGTTAGCTATTATATATGACCCTTTCTGACTGGTCTCAACCACTGATTTCGCCAGTCTTCAAGTCAAATGAAAACTCCTCTATTGATAACGACAAAAGGATCAGTCTGACGAACATACTGTTGGAGATTCTAGGTTCAATTATCATTAGACATTTAAGGAGAGCTCGGAAACAGCAAACCTAAAAACCCATTCAGGCTTTGAACCCGATCGTGTATGTATCGACTAAGTGTTCCCATTCCATCAGGTTCTGGAATACAGACACATTTCCCAACGTCCGACACTAGTTTTATTTTTTTACCTGAAGGCTGCATTCGACTCCGTCAATCGAGAGGTCTTATGGTGGTGTCTCTGATTCAAAGGGATGCCGAGTATGTATATCACTCTGTTCAAGGCTCTTTACTCGAACACCCATTGGGATGTTAGAGCCTGTAGTGAGTTACCGGGTGAGTTGTGTACGTTGAGTGGTGTCCGTCAAGTATGTTCACTCCATTATTATTCAACTTTATCATGGACGTACTTATGGAGATCTCCCTTTCGTTATCTGACTGCAGGAATTGATCTTATTGCAAGAAAATCCTTAGTGGATCTAGGGTACCCTGATGACATAAGACTCTTCGATGAAGACCCTGGCAAGATGCCGAGTTTCCTGGCCATATTGAATGGTGGCTTGAGAATGTTTGGGATGCGTTTCTCACCACCCAAATGCGGATTGTTGCTCTAGAACTGGTGTTCAGTAGTATCCGGCTAACAATAGAAGGTGAAGCGGTTGAGAAAGTTGACCACTTCCCTTACTTTGAAATTTGGGTCAGGCCTCGTGGGTCAATGACAGATGAAAACTCCACACGGATACAAGAGTAGATTGGCTCCCGTCAATCTACTCCACCTGTGATACTGTCGTGATATTTGACTGTCTAGCCTATTAAGCGTTAAGTATACTATGCTGCAGTTGGCTCTGTTCTACTATAAGGCTGTGAAACCGACATAAGGCTCCAGGTGTTTAACCACCATTGTCTTCGTAGCATAGCCCGTGTTTCATGGTGTCACCATATCAGTAACGCAGAAGTTAGGTGGAGTTTTAGGGTAGAGAGGAAAGTTCATTGATGAGATTGTGAACCTTCATCGACTGAGATGGCTGGACGTGTGCTACTCTTGCCAGTCACCATCTACCTCGTCACACACCGTTGACTGAAGTAGTTTCAGGCTAAAAACGGGTTGGGGTGGTCAGACTAAAACATGGCATCACTGCATGAAGTCCTTGACCGTTTATTTGAGCCATGTTGGGATATGCAGACTTCCAGGTTGTTGTCTGCATGACAACAAAAGTCAGTGGTTGGAGACCAGTAGATTTGACTCACAATCGATGTCAGAAACGCAGATTTATCCACGCATAATCTTAATCACCTTACTGAACTTCAGCATTCTCTTATTTCTCTTTACTGTCTTTTGATAACTTTGTACCAGTTTTGGCTACTTTTGTCGCTGATGTGAGCTTTTACGCAGTAATCCCAGGTCTTATGTTGATTTTATCTGTTATTCACCCGAAGGAAAGCATAGGAAAACAATGACTGATTTATACAAATTCTTGAAACTTGTCACTAACTTCTTTCATGACTTTCAGTTGTGTTAAAGGGAACACTCCCTTATAAGCAATTAGTTTCTTTAGAGTTCTTACAACGTCAAAAGGTCCACTGCTGTGGACAAAATGTGGGGTCTACTTCACAGTTTTTTGTTTGTGGAGCTTTGGATCATTGGTCTGGAGCAATGACGTTTGACCATTCGGTTTCACTATCCCCGACTCAGAGTTTAGAATATGAACTCATACTTGGTTATTGAAAAAAGTTTTTTCTCTGGATAGTTTTGAAAAAACGATAGAAACCTCATAAAAAAGCTTATCACTCTCACATCCTATGCTTTATGGTAATACAGAAGGAAAAACCCAGAAGCGATAAAAAAGTGTTCAAAGAAAAAAGATGATACTAGCAGAAAATAGAGCATAGAAGAAGGTTGAAAGAAAATGCGTTTGTATCCTTGTAATCCATTTTGAGCTAAATTACTTTCGATTTCGAACATTTTAATCACAAAAGTCGAGTAGTGTGTGCTTCTGTGCATCGATAGTCGGTGTTAATGATCAGGGTGTTTACTTATCAAGTATAGGCCCAAAAGCTCTAAGTGCACCAAATCTAGTTTTAGTTAAGCAGACGAAAATATCATAAACTTTCATTTTCTAAGTGTAGCGCATAGACTAGTACATAAACATATACGGGCCTACTGAAAAGCACTTATTTTGAGCATAAGATGTTAAGTAGCTTACACAAGGCTCATTAGATCTGTTAACAGGAACACCCAAATGAGATGGGAATAACAGATGTCTCTAAAAACCATGAAATTAAAATACTATAATCACTATTTGATTTCTAAACTTATAGCATTGTCGGGCAGTATTGTTTGGTTTTCGTTTTTAATTCCATCATCCATAACCACTAAAAATAGTAAAAGGAGTTGGTTTTTGCAGCATACTTTTTATGAGAAAGACCTCTTTTTTTACATAAGTAGCAAAACAGTATCTTGATTGCAATGAAAGTGGCACTGTATTTCATCCCTTCCAAAGCATCACAGAGGGAAGATAAATGCTAATTAGGAAAAGTTATACTTCTTGAGGGAGAGATACTATATTCTTGAAGAATATTCTGTTAATATGGATGTTAGAGAATACTTGCCAGGGAAGATTTCGCATGGTATAGAAATAGAAGCTGTATAAATAACCTACCAAGTTTCCCTCTTTAAAACTGAGACCACTGAATAATTTATAGAATAAGAAAATGTTTTACTGTCAGCGAAAAGATGCATAAACGTGACTTACTAGTTGTTGTCAAGTCTTATGCATATTTATACTCATTTGATTGTTTGATATACTTCAAATACTTATTCTTATCGTTTCTGTTAATCTACCTCACAGAAAATTCATCATTCGGATGTGAATGTGGTCGTCATTTCACATCCAAGAGTGTTTTACAAAGACATATCAGGGTTGTTCATGAAGGTGAGAAATTTTGCAAGTTTCGCGTTTTTCAGAGTTTATTTTGCACACTAGAATACTTTCAGGATAATTTCTTATAACTGGGACCTACCTAAGTAATTTAAACAGTTGTCTACTCTCACATCAATTGTTATAGGTGTATATGGCGGTTGATACTTTGTCCCAGTAATAATAAATAAGTAATCAGTAGTCTGACAGAAATTTAGGATTGTAACAGTAATCTTTTTACACTAAGCCATTGATACTCAAATATATTTATCGTTTAACAGATTCTACAATTAAGCCACAAGCAGGTTTTCAGTATTCATTATCGATTGGCGTAGGTTGTTGAAGCCGTAGAAAAAATGTTTTGTCTTTCCTCTGATAAGTACGTTTGTCGTAAATCAGTTTCTTCTAGGTTGTTTGTCTGAATTAGGCGTGGTACATGGGAGTGTTAGTTGAATTTAATTAAATCATATCGTTCCTAAATTTGCAAAATTTCACACAGGCGTATAAGAATTCTGAATGATGACTGTTCTTATGTTGTCAATACATCAACGATTGGTGAGGTGATACATACAGTCTCACATCTTGTTATGCATTCAAAATTCACTTTTTTTGCAAACATTGCAATTTAAATTGCCTATCTTATCGGTGTATACTGTCGTCTGTGGGAATGAAGTAAGTATCTTGTAAAAACGTTTTAGCGTCACAATCTATTTCAGAAACCACCATTTCCAATTAAAAGTGAGTCAGCTTTCGTCAGGTCACTTATTACGGTAAAAATCAACAACGGATTTCAAATTAATGGATTAACAGTTCCATTTTGGTTCTCAAGTACTTTATCATCATAAGTTGATAAGTTATTGGTAACTAAAACAACGCCGTTAACATGCCCAGGTTTCTGCACTAGGTTGCTATACAGACCCCTACCGTACTATGTGAAGTTTAGCGGTATTGTCTAGTGGTTGATTTTTGAGTGCCTAGATTATTGTACTATGGTAGTTCTTGATACCAGTCAGCCAAATGTTACCGATCAGAAATTACTTGGCGCATTCACAATTAATATAATGATATAGTTTGACAAGAAAAGAACACTAATGATTCTAGGGCTTTTATCTTTGAGTGAAGGTAAGGTTAACTATAAATGCCTTAAAATGTAGCACAGCTGTGTATTTTTGATGAGTGTTCAAGGTCTCGGTCAATGCACTCCCCCAACGGTCTTACAACACACTTGACTTTTTTTTCATGTTTTCTTTTCGTGAGCTTCAGATAGATGTTTGATCATTATGGTTTCTACGATCATAGAAACTTCGATCAAACTAGTTTGTCCATGGTTGTCAAAAGAAATCTCAATTCTTTTTGTGGACAACGATGGTCAAAGAGATCAGATGGAATTATACCTGAGTCTTACACTAGTTAACTTTTCATTCACTAATAATCCTAAACAACCGTCTTTCAGTACCTCAGGCATTACCATTGACTTGGTTGTGTCCAGCAGTGGAGTCCAGGACGTGCATTTCGTCCTATTTGGAATCGTCAGCCGGATATACCTGCATCCCTGTTTGTGATTTTGTTCCCACTGAGACTAGAACCTCGTAGCTATCGCTTCTAACACCAAGGCATTATCCACTAGACCACTGAGGCACGATAGCCACCTCTTGAAAAACGGGTATTAGTTACTACTATTTGTTGATACTTGTGATTCCATGTTGTTATATTGGATCGAATGGATCGACCTCTGTTGGCATATGAGCTCCTATGCGGATGTCTAGATATTGCCTGAATACTTATTGTTACAATCCAGTTTAAAAATGAAGAATTAAATGTCGACAAATAATAACTTCTGGTATTAGCCTATTAGGATCTGTTACTTCTCTCCAACCCCAGCAAGAGTGGTAAGTTGGATTTTGAAAAATGCTCTAGAGAAGAAGCGACAGTTTATTGCCCACCCTTTTCAGCGTCTAAAAGATTCAGGTACACTAGCGGAAAATTCATGGATGGATGTTGTGTTATGATCTAACCACTATCAGACTTCTTCCATTTTTGTTGCTGACATTGAACGTTGAGGTACACGATGAGCAGGAATGTGTAACATATCTAGCAGCCACATTTGTCCATGAAAATACACAGTGACACCGATTTATTTAAATCTTTTACTGAGTACTCTACATCGAATTTCCACATTCGGAAAAGATCGAAATTCATTCAGTTACCTTAAGCACAATCGTCTGGTAGGCGATGAGCCATACCTAGTGATAATACCTGACTGTCCAAACCTGGGTAGGTGGAGCGGTTTTCGAACCCATGATCCAATGGTTGAAAGTTGAATGCCTAAGCCAATGAACCACAGCTCCACTAACCTCCTTCACAATCACGCCACACCCTTATTGTGATGCAGTGAAACCAGTGGGGAAATACATGAAATCTTCGTTTATCCTGTGCACTTAGTGGTTATGTTTCAAGGAAGAATAAAAGCACAAAACATACTTCTGTGCTGTACACTGATTGATACAACTGTGTTCAGGTCTGATTACTGTTTACTTCTCTAAGGTTCATTGTTTCTGAATAGCAGTTAAACGTCAGACGATTATGGATGGTGAGATCTCAGGAATCATGTTGGCTAAGTAGATTTTCCCATGATTATCACAAAAGAATTTTCATTCTCGTGTGGACGCTCGATTTACAATTAACCTTAATCGAACTATCACATCTCAATTTAACCAACTGCTGAATCAGTATCTGTAACTCATTTTCAAGTTGTCCCATAAACACCCATGCTTCTCTTTCACGTTTCATTGGCTGCAACCTTCTTAAATTCGTAAAGTTGGAAGCCTTGAGTCAAAGTTGTGTTCAAGTGCCAACTGGAAGATTGGTAATTAAAATAAAGCTACAGACAAAACAGAATGTTTTTCAAGGTTTTCTACTCATCTATTTTATAGTCTTTTTCTGAAAGTGAATCATCAGTTCACTTACTTCAACGACAGCCTCATTAACTACCTTCCATCGTTAAGCTTCTTCAAAAGTCTAAGCAGTTACCTATCATTGCATATAGCCCTTGCTTTCCACATTTTCAAACCTTTATCACTCATCAGTGATCACGATCAGTGCATAAATCTTAAGTGGTTTCTTGTTATCGTTCTCGAAGTTGGTCGTAATGTGTCCCCATGCTTACATTAGTGCCTTGGCTACGGGATTAAACAATTTTTTTGCGTCTAAAGATAGAACTGTGATAATAAGTGGTCTTCAAAGCAAAACTGTAGCAAATAGTCATCATTATCGATCCCCTATGCTATAATTCCTAACGTCACCATCTAAGTGCTGTTTCTCAGTGGAACTTGTATTTCTCTTGGTCCGATTTTCGGCAAGCGTAGACATTACAGAAACATCAATTCGTCTCCCGACTGTTCTGAGTTCATGTTTTTCTGTCAGTTGAATGCTGCTCAGCTTGTTGCCAAAGGGTATACTTTCAGCTTAAGAGAGTGGTGTTGTGACTGCGTATGTAACACTAGAGAAGCTGCTGATCAATTTTGCGTATATCTGAAAAGTGAATCTTACTTATTCACAACCATAGACAAGTAAGATGGGTGAACACTCACATGTGAAATGTTGTATGCTTGCTTCAGAAACCCCATCATCTTCGGGTTTGCATTTTAGAGTTTTCGTTAGCTAGGACACTCATTTGTTTTTGATACCAGTTATTACCTTCTCAGAATTGTGCTAAATGCTTATATAAGCGCATAGTTCTACAGTTCTTGCCTGATTATTCTATGTAATTAGATGGTTATTCCTACCAGTTGTTTTGTTTTAATGACATGTTCTGCTTTATTATTACTAATAACAATGACATAAATTTCTCATTGTTTAAGGAATTACTTTCACTTGTGAACAGTGTGGTAGATCATTTTCACGAAAATGGAATTTGAAGCAACACATTAGTTCTGTTCATGAGCGTAAGTTTACATTAATTTTTAATCTTTCCTACCTAATTTTTAAAACAGTATTTCATTTTTCTGAGGATGAGACAGGATTCCAGCCATCAGATCACTGAAACATCGACTAATTACTTAGCTAAAAGGGAAAGTTTCTCAAATGTTTCTGATCTTAGAGTAATTTGTAATTCGTATGTCTGGCTGTTGTAACGAATCGAAATCCATTCAGCTATCTTGTGCACTTTCGTCCAGTAGGCAATACGCCGCGCCTATTGTGGAGGCGCTAACGATGGAACCTAGCCTCCTAAACCTAAAAAGAAAAAGCTGGGTTCGAAACCAAGTGCCTAAGCCAATGAGCTACTGTTCCCATTGTTTGATGTACATACAAAACACACATCTACCTGTATTTCACCATTCTGGTGTCGTCCAGTTAGGATTTCTTGCGATGACTGAAACTAACCAAATATATCTGAGAATCAACAGGCTAATAAATGCGTTACTCAGATAAACAGTGGTAACCTTTCTGTAGTACTCTATATACAGGGTGATGAAAACCGTGTGAAATATGAGTTAGTCATGCATCACTACGATTTCTTTCATAACGGTTTCGTTTTTATCGGGTTATTCTGATGCAAAAAAATTTACTTAAGTTTTTTATCGATAAACGCAATTGGTTATATCACTTTTAGGTATTACAAGGTGTCACTAGAGACTGATGACCATAATGGGTTGGTTTCAGTACGCACGTGATTGCATCTGATTATGCATAGGGATTAGGCTACCTGAAAGTCTGTGCATGTCAGGTTTGTACATGCAGATATCAAGTCTGAATATATGACTGAAGTTAATGAGTATTTATCGTGATTTGATAACTACTCTCATCTCAGTTTCACCTAGGATTGTTTTCAGTCCGCTGTTGAAATATCAATGAAAGCAGTTGGTAACTGGTAAATGAAATTTACTACAGTCGTATTGATATCATTGAATCTTTCTCAATCTAAGATTTTACGGGAAAATATCCTGTTTTAGATTTTAAATTGCTTAGATGACATGGTCTACTGGTATTTTGAATGTATTAAGTAAGAGACTGAATGCATTTGACATATATTTATCGCCTGTTAGGTTTATCGACCTATGACTCCTGATTGAAAATTAAAATTGAACTGGATATGTATGACTGGAAAGCTCCATGACCACTGATGGATGGTCAACAAAGTTACAGCATGAGTATAGAACGTTCATTTAGAATATTCCACTTTAACTTCACCGTAAGCATTGGAAACTTATTCGAATGTGTCTATCAACTTTGAAGTAAATGAAGCAGAAACATTTGCTGTTCTGCTGGATTGATGAGTATGCCGGAAAAGTATGTGGATAAATAAATCGTGACAATCCGTGAAGTCAGTGTTTTCACCTTTTAATTGTGTTGAGGGATGGTACGTATCGTCATATGAAGATAATGAATGGGCTAATACATGATAAATATGGCTTCATGCTTTATAAACTCACTTAAAACCTTGCTAATCAAATACTGAAATTTCGGAGTGAATAAAGATGACATTTAACTTAGCCCAAATACTATTGCTTAGATTTTTAATAGGATGTCCTTCTGTAGGTCGAAGATTGAACGTTTAGCGGGAAGTTTCCGTTTCCTCAAGTCAAATAAACACGTAGGAATAATTGTTAGTGAACATATTTAAGGTATATTTATACAGGTTTTGAGTAAAAGGCAATAGTTAGAGACTGTAGGTGATATGGTTCAGAATTGATCTAAATACAGGGCATGTATGCCACACATTATCTTCATCTTGAACGTCATATCACATTTGATTATTGTTTCATTCCCTCGTGTTCTCTTCCTGCTAATTTCCGCTACTTTTGATTACTCTCTTCATTATTTCTCTCTCTCTCTTTCATCTTTGTATCTCCTATGTCGATATGTTGATATGAAGGGAAGTGCAGCAAAGTCATTATTTACTGCGTAACGGTCCGAGTTGCCACACCTCATATCAGCACATCAAGTAAAAAGGTAGTGAGGCGAAGGATGAAGATAAGTGAATGCAGTCAAAAGAAATATAAAGTACGAGAAGAAAGGAAAGAGGAGTGACAAAATGGTGAGATTCGGTATAGCGTTGTTAGGATGAGGATAATGTGTGTATACATCTGTGCCACTGACATCGGTTCTCAGCCATATCACGTAGGGTCTCCAACCACTGGTTCCTCTTCTCCCGTGGACCCCAACCACCTAGTCTGCATCGTCCTACATGGCTTAAACCAACAGTCCGAGACTTCATACATTGGTGCCATGTTTTAGTCTGGCCACATTTGATTATTGTTTCATTCCCTCGTGTTCTCTTCCTGCTAATTTCCGCTACTTTTGATTACTCTCTTCATTATTTCTCTCTCTCTCTTTCATCTTTGTATCTCCTATGTCGATATGTTGATATGAAGGGAAGTGCAGCAAAGTGGGCCGTTATGCAGTCATGTCGGGTCCCGTGTGTGGTATGACTGAATCACTCTATTGTTTCGTATAATGCTTTACCCCTAATAGGGTTTGGTAGTTGTTATACCTTTTTCGTTCATTGGTACTACACCTGTTTTTCCTTTATCGAGGTTGTATGAGGGTAAAAATCCGTTCACGCTAAGGTATACGAATAAAATCAGCGTTTCTTGTGCTAAAAAAGCTTTCATAAAGGTGACCAGCCTCTTGAACAATAATCAAGGTCATTTACCTTTGGTTACTTGTTATTCACCTTCCTAGTCTTCGTATCTGTAACATATAAAATTAGTGCATTATCAGTGAATCTTTTCTAAGTGCTTATCACAAATAAATTTCATTGAGTTTTAAGCTTTTGTTTACATTTGTATCTATCTAGTTTGTAAATTATCCACACTCAATGAAAAACTTTTGAAAAGCGTGTGCTGTCTATACAAAGTGTTTGAGGAATACCTAGATGAAGTTTTGTGATAGAAGACATTGGTAAACTGCTAGACCGATAATGAAAAGAAAATTATAAACTCGAGAAGCTTATGTTCAGGATTTTACGAAAAACCACGTGGAAAAGAAGAAACATTTTGAAGCTAAATGTCTGAGATGACGAGAGCATTTTCATTTTGCTGAACATCCCACTTGTCTGTATTTATTGAGCAAGACTGCGATAGGATTTGTCTAGCAGACTAACCTTAGTGTACTGTGGCGATGAGTGAAGTAGAAGCAAAACGTTTTGTTCTTGGCAGGATTTTTGACCACTGATAACCGGATTACTAACCAGATACTCCACTAATCAGACTATGAGACTCAGCTTCTGACTACTTCTCAACTTACTACCTACTTGCATGTTATCCATGTCTTTCGTTTTCTTATGTATTACTTTCCCGTTCTTTTGTATCAGATTATGAGTGATTGAAGGCGAAGAGTTCGTGCATTGGGTAGTAGTTCACATTTATTGTTCTAGCACTAATTGTAGTAGATGAGCCGGGTTGGATCCCCCTTAGCCACGAATTGAAAGTTAACTTCCTGGATTTATGGAGCACAGTTCTGTTTTTTCTAAAAGCCTGTGTATTTTTTAGTCAGTCAGCCAGATTGTAGTAAAAACTAGGTTTCCAGTATGTTACAGTCACTTACATGCTGGTTAGCCGTTCCAGCATGTAACTGCATGCCGATTTCCTGTCTTAGACATATGTGTATTAATATTCAACATTTGTGTTTTTCCTCTTAAGGTCAAGTATTTCAGTGTGAAGTCTGTGAAAAACGTTTTTCGTCGAAAAATATTTTACTTAGGCATGTGAAGTGTTTTCATCAAGGTAAATTTCCTGGATAGTAATGGCATTTTTCCTATGGTAGTTTCTGTTATTGTTGTTTTAAAAAAATAATTTTCTACAGTTTTTGATTGTGTAGTTTCCACTCTCTTGTCTTGTATTTGTCCTTCCGTCTTGTTGTCCTATATACTGATTTGCTTATGTGAGGTGCTGCAGCTTGGACTGTTATGTTGTAATTTCAGGTCTCATGTTTGTACTAAATGATGGTAAATAGTTATATTTCCATTACTAATATACGTAATCAAATCCATAGTGCAATTATGTCGGCACCAGTCATCTTATCACAATGGATATGCTTTTTTAAATTTATATAATGCTGTTGGGAAGCTGCGGGAAACCATGACCTACTGGTCACGCGTTCAAGCTCTGCCCCACCTACCAAGGTGTAGGCAGCCAAGTAGCGTCACTAGCTCTTATACGATAAGTGTGGCTTATTGCTTGCTGCACGGATGTGCGCAAGGTGTCTGACTGCTTTCTTTCTTTTCTCTATTTCTATTATGGAGTGTACTGGGTAATATTCTGTCGGTCGTCACCAGATAATGCATGAGTTGATTTTGTCTTGTCACTGTGGGTGTTGAGCTCACCAGCAGAATAACTTGGCTGTAATATATTTGAGCAACTGACGTCCATTTCTCAGAGAAAGTGTATGCTTTATTTTGTTTGGATTACTGATACATACTTCGAAAAGTTTCACAGCTACCACCTCACTTATCTTTATCTGAAGATTTCAAAGTGCGATTTACATAAGGTTTTCGATCAAACGCTAAGTTTTATAATGCTTTTTAGCAAAATGGTATGCTATAGTTGGAACTGGAAGTAGTTCAGTTGTCGACAATTTTGAATTTCTCCAGTTTGCATCCAACTCATTCGTATTACAACCATTAGTATTGTATGTTAATGATGCGTAGTAGCTACCAGTGGGATCCAGGCGATATCGAGGCATCCGCACAGGAGCCCATGTGCCAATAGAAACCGATCGATTCGGTCCACTCAACGATGGAATAATACAAGCAACAACATTATTAGCATTGTAGTTTATCTTTATGTTGGGAGTTGGTTGGATTATTTGGAAAAGCAATGCAGCCACTACTTGAACACAGTGCACTGACTAAAAGTCAACAGGTCGTGAAATATGTTACAACAAGAAAAGTGGGATAAGAACAAGAAAGATAAAATTAACATTTGTTGGACATCGAACTCACAATTTATGATCGAGTGTAGGATAACTTCATGTACACCACCGATAACAACTTTTTCCAGCCATTTTGTGCAAAAACAAATTTATTACGTAGTTATTCCTTCGGTTTTGTACATTACACGTACCTGTTATATCAAAGCTTAAGAATCCATTCGGCTGATCAGTTTGAAATCCACTCAACAATCTTGCGCACATTCGTGCAGTAGGCAATTAGCTATACTACTACTATTTGGCTTCCCAAACTTCAGCAAGTGAAGCGGGACTCGAACCGGTGATCCACTGATGGACAGTCATCTCCTTAAGCCGAACTACACCCGATTGAGAACCCATTACTGTTGTCAAGACTTGAATAGGCGTAGTGGATATGTATGTGTGAGCCTTTTGTGGAAAATCGACTACTTTGAACTGAATTACTCTAGCCATTTCATTCTGGTTTGAATCTCTTCATATAAAGACAACATTATATATATATATATATATATATATATATATATATATATATATATATATATATATATATATGCAAGGACCGCTATGGCTGATTTCTACTTAAGTGTTTTCTTTTAGGTGTGTGTTATAAGTGCGATCAGTGTGGCAAGACATTCTCACGAACGTATGATTTAAATCAGCACATTACTAGTTTTCATAATGGTAAGATTTCTTACTTATCTCATGCATATATATTTATATGTGAAGTTTGTTGTGAATTTTATGTATATATCTCGACATTATCTACCACCCATTCAAATTAACCTCAGCGACCAAGTAGGGTTTCATTGGTTGACGTCACACTGTTTATTTCTATAGTCTGGTAAAACATATATTTTATTATTTATCCCTTGGGTTCCTAGCTGAACATAGGGTTTCAGTAGCACGTCTCCATTCCACTCTCTTCTCTGCCATCTTTTGAACCTGGCTCAACGACTGCCCAGAAGCTCTCATTTCTTCCTCACATCATCTCCTCCATGCCAACCTCTCCTCTGACGCCCGACTCGCCGTTTCCCATCTGGGTTCCACTCGAGTGCCCGGCCTGGTGTATGATGTCACCGAATGGTCTTCTCAGTGCATGTCCAATCCATCTCCACTTGCTCCTGCATATTTGTTGGGCGATGGGTTCTTGGTTGGTTCGTTGCCAGCCAGCCAGAGTTCCTTGTTGCTCATTCTTATCATTCTGGCCATTTGATCTTCAGTACCGAGCCAGCGTAGGCAGCTATTAATGAATGTTTGCATTGGTAAAACATATGTTATCAATAATTAAATTGTCTTCGTTAATATCTACATGATAACTTTTCACGCAGTGGTTATAAGTTCATTGTGCCTCACTTACATTCACTTAATTGTATTCAACTTCATCTTACTAATCTTGAAATTGTGACGTTGTCTAGTGATTCTTAGCATCACTTTAGAACCGATCAGTTGAAACTTGCCTTGATGTATGTCAAAAAATATGAGAGTACAAATAAATTAAACTCTCTCAGCACCGCCTTTATTTACTAAGCAATGGGCCACACCTCTTCTGTGAGAGCTAATGATGCTACCTCAACAACAGCAAACTCCTTAAATTCATTTGCGTAATGTCATAAGAAGCTGGAGGTCATTTAAGAAGTGTGGTGTATTTGGTGAATGCATTTCGAACAATACGCTCGCACATTTACTTATCAAGGCACTTAATATGAAAGGTGAAAAATAGGTTGGGGTATTGCAAATAAATTAGGACAATACAAGATTTAGAAAATATAAGCATTATCAGGAGGAATAATACATTTTCATACCTCCGTTGGCATTAGAATGAAATAAAGAATACCAAGGAAGGTTAGCAGTGAGGATAAATTGTTTTTGATCACACAAAAGTCGGGGTGGGTGAGTTTTAACTTCCGTGTAGCTAAGGCTTCAATGAACCTGAGTATATGGCGTTGATAGCTCCTAAATAATAGTCTAGTGTCTGTTGTGAGGTCAGTCCTGTGACCAGTTTCCATAATTTGTTTACGTATAGACCATAGAGTCTGTAAAGTGTACAGAAAACCTACAAGTACCGAACTGTGTTTAAACTTTCATAGTTTTTGTCCAATACAGTACCAACTAGGTTTAGTGAAATACTTATTCAAAAGGACGCAATGTAATCTGCGCAACAGTAACATTGGAAAAAGGAATCAAATTCACAACAGACACTTATGAAAAATGTATATAATCTGAAGTTCATCAGTCGTTATAAAAACGTTTCAACGGTGCGAACTAATCGGTATCCTCTCCCGAAAGATGTTTACATTACACTACCGTATAAGGAGGAATCAAACAGCATTATATTAAGACGAAGGCTTGTTTCAGTTATTAAAAAGGTGTACCAACCAGCCAAGCTCAATATTATTGAGAAAACGAAACCTTTGCTTCAAAATAAACCTCGTCACTGAATAGATGATTACGTCACATTAAGCTGTGTATACCCACATACATGTGTGTACGGTGATATATACATTGAGAGCAGTAGTTGGACTATGAAATGGAAGGTGATGGAGCATATTCCTAAGTATCTAGAAAGATAATTCCATTCAAATAATCCGATAAATGCGGGGAGCAGACAGACATAATCGTTTATAGTTAAACATATCATGGAAACTGGTCACAGGACTGACCTCACAACAGACACTAGACTATTATTTAGGAGCTATCAACGCCATATACTCAGGTTCATTGAAGCCTTAGCTACACGGAAGTTAAAACTCACCCACCCCGACTTTTGTGTGATCAAAAACAATTTATCCTCACTGCTAACCTTCCTTGGTATTCTTTATTTCATTCTAATGCCAACGGAGGTATGAAAATGTATTATTCCTCCTGATAATGCTTATATTTTCTAAATCTTGTATTGTCCTAATTTATTTGCAATACCCCAACCTATTTTTCACCTTTCATATTAATTGCCTTGATTATATTGTATGAAATGCATTGTGCAACTACGGTGAGAATAATATTTGAAGTTATCTGCTGCTAAATTCATGATTAATTCTCACCGTAAAGGTGAAAGCGGACTTTCATTATCCTGTTTAGGCTTCTCAAAACCTTCATATTTATTTTGATATTTATTTAGGCAATTTTGCATTCTATTCCTTGATTAATGCTGAACATTACTAGTTCTTTTCCGTGTATGAAACAAATTTTAAATTTATACTTCGTCTTCTTTGAATTATAATCATTATTATTATTATATTATTATTAGTCCCTTGGGTTCCTAATGGAACATAGGGCTTCAGTAGCACGTCTCCACTCCACTCTGTTCTCTGAAATCTTTTGAACCTGGCCCCACGACAGCCCACAAGCTCTCATTTCCTCCTCGCACGATCTCCTCCATGTCACCCTCGGACATCCAACTCGTCGCTTCCTAATGGGGTTCCGCTCGAAGACCTGGCCTGACGCGTGATGTCCCCAGTCGGCTTTCTCAACGTATGCCCAATCCATCTCCACTTCCTCCTGCATATTTGTTGGGTGATAGGTTCTTCGTTGGTTCGTTCCCAGAGCTCCTTGTTGCTTATTCTTTCTGGCAATCCATCTGATCTTCAGTATCGAGCCAGCGTAAGCAGTTGTTGATGAATGTCTGTAGTTTATTGGAAATCCCTTTCGTAACGCGCCAAGTCTCTGAACCATGCAGAAGCACTGACTTGACGTTGGTGTTGAAAATCTGTATCTTGTTCCACATGCTGAGTGCAGAAGATCTCCACACTGGTTTCAGGCTAATGAACGCCTGTCTTGCTTTTCCGATTCTGACTTTGACATCCTCATCTGTCCCGCCTGTAGTTGAAACAGTGCTTCCTAGATAGGTGAAGGAGGTTACTTCCTTTAAGTTTCTCCCGTTGATGGAGACTGGAGTTTGTTGTTGTTGGTGGTGGTGGCGTTGGTTGGGTATCTTCATCACCTCTGTCTTCTCTATATTCACTTGAAGTCCCGTCTCCGCTGCCTCGCTTCTCCTGTCAACTTGTTAGTTTTCACCTGTAGATCTTCAAGTTTGTGTGACATTAGACACGAGCCATCGGCGAAATCCGAATCTTCTAGGTTCTTTTCCGTGGTCTAGCGTATCCCCCTCTTCTCGCTCCCCACTGTTTGCTGCATGATCCAGTCGACCACAATCAGGAATATCATGGGGGATAGTAGGCAACGTTGTTTCACTCCTGTCTTCACTTCAAAAGCATCACTGAGCTTCCCGTTGTGAATTACTTGGCATGTGGTATCTTCATATAGTTGTTGAATGAGGCTGATAAAGGTTTGCGGTATTCTGTAGTATTGAAGCAGTTTCCAAATTACCTCTCGGTCGACGCTGTCAAAGGCCTTCTCAAGGTCGATAAAGTTGAGGTAGAGAGTTGACTGCCATTAATCATAATCATAACAATTACAATAGTTGTAAACGAGAATTGATGATAGCGATGACGCCTTTGTTTCTGCGTTTGTAATTAGCAGGAAGTTTATGCACGTCGGCTTTGCATATTTTTCAGTAGTTGGTCAATGTTAATTCTGAGACTAGGGATTACCTACCTATTCTTAGCTCTTCATCTTCTATATATATAAATCTAACTGACCCTGTAGAACAAGTTACATAAAACGTACTATTAGACAGGTGCGTCTCCGGATACTAGAGTATTTACAGGCTTGGTTCCATTCAAACGCATCTAGTAGATACACAACATCACATAGATATTAATAAGGCCTTCAATGTCATTTATTGTACTCCATAGACAATACCACGTGTAGTTTGCCCACTCCTGGTCAACATAACTTAGGCTGTCACAATAATGTTGATCAAATCTAAATTGTGCATTCAGATAGAATATATTCTAGCGTTATCCCTCCCTTGGGCTTCAGTAAACTAAAGAGCACTTCTGTCTTTTTTATTCCTTATCTTTTCATCCACATCATTCATCTGCATATATGTCATCCCAATATTGACAAATTTAAAACTAAAAACTTGATTCCCTTACAATACCCAAATCTTCCTCTATTTTGAAAATGTCTTGGTTGTATTGTGTTCTCTGAGCTGGGTTGTTTAATCGTGAAGCTTTCGTCGTCCTTCTAGACGACATCATTAGCACTAACTTCAGTATGAAGTGAGCTGTCAATGTCTCTCCATGAGTGCTGATGATGTCGTCTAGAAGGACGATGAAAGATTCACGATTAAACAACCCAGCTCAGAGAACAAAATACAACCAAGACCATCCACCTGAGCTTTAAATATTCTCCACTATTTTGGAAATGTATCCGAAAAGGTTGTGTGTAACTGCTCATTACTCCTTGTATATTTTTAACGTTGTGCATGTTTATGCTATATACATGATGTACACAGAAAAATGTAAACAACTTCCTCACTGATATTTTAACCATCTATAGTGAATATCCTTTTCTTCATTTTATTTTATGCATATATTGGTCAACAGTCAGTAATACTTATATGTATTGTAAGTTAAATATCATTATGACTTTTGAAATGGATATTTTCCTTTAATTTTATCTAGTTAAACTGATGGAGAACTTAGAAGAACCATCTTTAATAACTAATGGTTCTGTCAGTTCTAATTATCAATTATCTCAAGAAGGTAAGAAACATTTTGTGAATGGATATTTAAATGAAGTTGAGATATGATGGTTTAAAATATGTGGACATTAGGTAAATGTTATTCATTACTTTGACATTTGTATTTCTCAATGAATGTAAACACAAAATCATCCATCCAGAAGAACTCATATCAAGTTATCCTATATAAGCCTAGATATTGTAAATTCCAGTTTACTATTACTTTAAAATAATGATATCAGCATTAAATGACGAGACATCAGTAAAAAAAAAATTTGTTCTGTTTGACATTCATTGGGATATACAAATACCAATATAATGAAAAAGCGTCTACGTTAAAAAATTTATACTGGGTGACGATTGAAAGTGAAGTGGAGATTTGGACCGTGGCAGGATCCGAACCATCGATCACGGGGTTCCCATCTCGGTACTCTACCAACTAAGCTACAAGGTTCACCTGTTGACCACATTTTTATTTCACTTTAATCACCAAGGGTTTTGCCCAACAACCATGTGAATTCGTGATGCGTTCCCACAGCTTGATCTTACTCATAGTGGTTGCCCAGTCAGGACTTCTCACCTCAATTTAAATCTAACTGAATTTTAGAGAGGTGGAGCATCATACTGATTATCATTTGACTATCTGACATAGATGCGGTTTGGTAGGCAAGTATTGACACCAGTCTGCAAAACCACGGCTATCTCAGATGGTCAAATTGGTAATTAAAATCATTACTCTAATTCAAGTATTAGTCCGTTAATCACCTTTGTTGTGCTATTGCTTTACCAAATACGATGACTGCTTCAAGTATTTAGTGAAATATTAGGCCTAACGTGTTACCAGAGGTATGTACGCAAAGCATACAAGGCAGTTTCTAATCTGATCGTAAATACGCAGATAGTGAAAAGTAGTGACACATGTGGCATGAAAATTTAAAAGGCTTTCTGTCATTAACATTCAAAGATTTTTGGCATTGCTGTCGCACAGCATAGACACTAAATCCTAAGAAGAACTTTTCCTCGCTGATGTGTAAAAATTATAGGATCATACAATTCTTCCTCTTCACGGATTTGAACCAAGCAAGAAGAACGATAGAGTAGTAGAATTAGCATGCATGTTATTCGTGGGTTCTCTTCAGCTGCTTTATAACATAGAATAAAATATTTATGATAAAAATGAATAGTACACAACTTACGTTAATAAGTCGGCATGTTGTATGGTATGTATTTTTGCCACGGACATTATTTCCTATAGGGTTATAAAGCACCTCCATACGTGCGTACTACTTCTCCTACTATTGTTCTTCTTGCTTCAACGTCTTAATTGAGTGGGTAGATGTGATCAATGCTATTGGTGAAGAACAATAATGAATCATGTGATCAAGGTCATATACTGCTGATTGGTTGCTATCATACTACATCTACTTCAATGAGAACCAATCATTTTTAGTTGATGGCAAAGTCTAGTAAAAAGTAGGTGAAGAGAACCACTTCACAGAAATATTATCTAATTATGCTGTTGTATTGTGTACATTTTCGTACTATATATTTATGAATTTTTATAAATCTAGGGATTAGTTCACTTGTTTGAACCTTCCTCAGTAAATTGATGGTTTGAATTACAAAGTGAATTCACACTCACGGTTACTCTGTATAGGAGTGTACGTAAATGTTTTAAATCAAAAACTGTTGTATTGCTACTTAGTTTTGTTCGATAATTCTTCAGTAGGTCTCACTCATATCTTCTGATAGGATGGTTTAGAGACTGTGATCATGATAGTTTGCAATCGATGTGGCGCATTTATGTTTGCAGAAGTTTTCAACTTTTGTTGACATCTTCAAAGTGACTTAGCTGTACACATCATTTTACAGATGGACAAAAACAGAAAAATCATCGTTGAACCTGGCACAAAAGTGTATCTCTCCAAGTTGCTACATTCCACAGCAGCATGCGCAACCCTACTGCCGTACCATCAGGTTATCTGATTTTAGACTAATATCATTTCCTAGTCTCCACTGTCAATCGGTAATTGCTAGGTAAGCTTCGGTGTATTCTCCGAACTGAAGGAAACAGAATTGTGTCCCACTCTTTTTAAAGTTAAAATACCAGGTCTTGTCCTAGTCGGTACTTATCAGTCAGGTGCGTCTTTTAAATTAGAAAAGTATATATGCTCACAACAATATGGTCGATGGTGAATTAATTTTAACTCACTAGTCTAATATTCTAGTATCCGATTTTTCTCAAAATGTATATTACAACAGGTCAGCTGTATTTATTTAGGCGTATAGTAGATTTTAGAAACACTCCGACTTACGAGTTGTCTAAATATTTAGCAATGATGTTAGACCCAATAAGAAACCACTCAAAATCTCGACTTACCAACTCCTATGACTTAAAGCGCAGATTAAACGACATACACTTAGATAACAATGAAAAAATGGTTAGTTTTGACATAACTAGCCTTTACACAAATATACCGATCGACGTGGTTCTAGAGGCAGTTAAGAATGAGCTTAAGGATCACAAAGAGCTTACACATCGAACTAAGGTGCCGATCGAGGAAACCATGCTAGGGGTATGATTGCACCTAACATCTACAGTTTTTAAGTTTCAAAACAAAATATATAAACAAACTGAAGGTGTTGCCATGGGATCACCAATATCCTCTATCGTTGCAGACATATTTATGGATAGTTGGGAACAGGTAGCCCTTCAAACGTTTAGTCCTACTTCAAAGATATGGTTCCGATATGTAGATGATACCGTTTACAGCACTGAAATCGGAATACATCAATAGTTCTTGGTACATATAAATTCAGTAGTAAATGCAATCCAACTTACCTGTGACTTAGAAAATGATGGTGAGCTGGCATTGTTGGATTGCAAGATTGAGCGAACACAAGACGGGGATTTAGAGACTAGTGTCTATAGGAAACTTCCCCATTCGAATTGCTACTTAGACTTCAAATCATCTCACCCCAACTCAGTTAAAGTCGGCCTAGTTAAATGCTTAAGTGATAGGACCGAAAAGCTTACTAGCAGACCAAAAAACCAAAACAAGAAATTTGGCACATCAAGAATACCTTGCATCTCAATAATCACCCACAAAAATTTATAAATAAATTCATAAGAAATCGAAAGAAAAATATTAGCAGTGGTAGTAGTTGTAGTAGTAATACAGGTGCTATTAATAATAACTCTACTACCAACGGTTATAATGGTGACAGGGTTGAGAGAGAACTCAAAGCCTCTTCTGTGTTACTATACAAGGAAGACACCTCAGAAGCATTACGAAGAATTCTTAATAAGTCTGGTTGGAATTAAAGTGGCATTCAAACCAACAAGCTCGCTTGGAAACAAGCTTTGTAGGCTAAAAGATCCTATTGATCTAATTCTGCAAAGTAATTTGGTTTACCAAATAACTTGCAATGATTGCGAGGTCAAGTACATACGTCAAAGCAATCGACCAGGGTCGATTAGAATAACGGAGCACAAAAGCTTAGCTAAATCAAGATTAGTAGATCCTAATAAGAGAATTAGAGAAAAGTTCGACTATAGCTCTGCACGCAATTACATACAATCAAGTAAGAGGGTGGAACAGAGCGACAGTATTAAAAACGAACTTAGTTGGATGGAAGGAGGGATATATTGATAACCGAATCTTTGTTTATCGAATCAACACCAAATACATACAATCGAAATGGTTGTGCACTTGTCCCAGATATATGGAAAGTTCTACTATCCTTGTCATCTCAAAGAAGGAGAGAAAATTAGGAATATATGAACTGTCTCAAAGTTGCTGTGATATGAATATGGACAATAAGTTGTGTCCGAAACGTTATCCAGTAAATAATACTGTTCCTCCACTGTGTGACATTTCTAATAAACAGACTAAAATGGTATTCTCTAACTTGTTAATTATTGTTCCAAGGCGATAATCAACAACTACGACCTTCATTTTTGTGTCCTTAACAACTTGGCATATTTAGAAGTAGTATTTATCATGGACTGACATCAGTGGGGGAACCATTGAAAATCTGGGAGCACTGGATTGCTGTTTCGTCCTAGTATGGGACTCCTCAGTAGTACACGCCCACAACCCTTGGCATATGTTTGTAGAATATTTTGGGCATGTTATTCAGCTGGTGACCTGTAAGCGTGGAAAAACAACAGGTTAGTGCTAACAGAAGGTCATAATCATGTGATGACAGTATTGCAGGTATGTTCACAGTTAAAGGCATAAATCACATGAACCAAACTATAGGACTTTGTATGCCATCATAATGGTATGTTTCTGGTTTTTGACCATAAATTCAATGTATATGGTGAAGTGTGTTTCGCGATTACTCTTTTATAAAACACCTTGTGTATCAGTAACTTTTAAGATACTTAAAGTTCTAATTATTTACTCTGAATAATGCTTGGAATGTTTCTCTTGCATAAATCTTTCCTAAATATCCAGAAAGTATTTCAAACTCGAACGAGTGTAATGGTTCACACTTTGAGGAAGATATACAACTAAATCCTTTGCAAGCATCTAACCAAAGTGAGTATTTCTTATATCAATAATTAAAATACTAACTTTTTCTAACTTCGAATAATCTTGTGGTTTTTTGACCTATATTATATAGCAACAGGCTGACTTACATTTCTTTTCCTTTTTTGCTAATATATAATCATTATATTATTAATTCTGTACTCTATCTGTTTTTCATCTTAACTGTCAGTGTTTGTTGTTGCGATGAGCAAACAAGTGATAAAATTAATAAACTTATGGCTGACGAAGAACTTCAAAAAAGAGAAGATTTGAGTGTATCTACATGATTTTAATCGGTCCTTAACTTTAAAACCATCGATTTTGGTTGTCATTTAGATTTCCACTCAGGGAAATTTGCATCTGTATGACAGACAATCAGAGACTTCATGGATTGATGCCATGCTTGATCCAAATAACGTTAGCCTTCTCTCAGTCTATAATCCTTCTAGCATAGTAAGGATATGGGGTGGGATATGTCAACGGATTTATAACCTCATCGACTGGTCCACTGCATTTATTTGGTACACTACTTTTAAACTTTCCAATGTTCTCATAATCGACCTGACCGATAGCTGCCACCTTGACGTGGTGGTCGGGCTTGCATACCTCGATGACCCAACGAGCTACACTGGTGGAATATTTGTTCCCATCCCAGAAAGGTGTATTGAATAGTAGTAAGATGAAAAACAGTTACCGTTGTAGTGTAAATTGCTACACTATGATGTGGGGTCTGAGAGCTAAGTCCTACTGCTTCTAGCTGGATGTGGTGTGACAGCAGTAAGGTGTTTCTCTTGGATGACCAGCAGTGCCACACTCATGTTGTCTTCTCTATGCAACGGGGGTCAGAAGAGGTCGGCCCCAAAAATAACACACTGCAACGTACTCTACGGTCTTCCGGTGCCGGTGGTGTGGGTTCTCTGTACCAAGTGTTAGAACAACCAAACTTGAAAACATCTCATGGACTGTATGTGACCGGCCTCAAGCAGATGTCCCATGGACTATGGGGTCACACAAATCTTTTTCTGTTTCAGATACCCTAAAAAGAAATAGCTTCCCATGATGTGGGCAGCCGGGGAGTGTCAACCACCTACACGCTTCCAGTAGTACACAAAACCCAATCAAACATAGCCTACCTATTCTCCTCAACTCTTTCCTCTCCTTTACCTTCACCTCCCAATGCTGATAATATTACCCAGACTCTCACTGTGCAATCATTGTCAACGATCAGAGCCATAGAAACTGTATTCCAAGTGTCCCATGATGTCGCCATCGATTTCATTTGTGATTTCAACGTCCGAACTCTATGCCAAACTGGAAAGCAATCATCGCTCGACAAAACTCTGGAATCTCTAGCCATGTGTGTATACTGTCTCTGCGACACGTATACAGGACCCGAGTATGGTTAATCAATTGACCTCATATGGCCACAGCAGTTAAACATCACAATTCACTTTAAGAGTACTCAGAGACTCATTGGTCAGCTCTCATGGACTCGCTGATGTAGGCAAGGCATTGAATTAGAGCAGAAAGTGCACTTCTCTACTGATTATCAATCAACAGCAGTCTATGTGCAGTTCAGCTGAATGGATATGTGAGGACTAGGAAGGATGGTAAGACTAGGCGATGCCTATTCGTAATCTCCGACTACGCACCCACCGGTTCTAGTTCGGCTGATGGAGATGATGAATTGTATAAGAAGCTGTCAATCTTGCTACAGGAGGCAAAGCGTTCAGATGTAGTCATATTGCCAGGTGACTTTAGCGCTCCTGCAGGGAAGCTGCGCTAAGCCAATCGGAAAGGCATCTTTGGAGAGTATTTACGGAATCCCGTGCCAACGAAGTGATAAAGGTAATCGTCTATTGCAATTTTGCCGCCTGAAGTTTTCAAGGATGGAGGTAAAAATTGCTAAACGAAGTGACGGAGTTACCAGATAGTATATTGAAATCAGAGGTAATGGCGTCAGACTGGTATATTTCACTGGTTATCTCAGTCTATAGGAAGGAGGAGAAATCTTGCGACAACCACAGGGGAATTAGTTTGGGGAGTATTGTGTCGAAGATCCCAGGGTCCATAGTTATCCGACGTGTTAGTGGAGCTGAAGAAAGGCAAACTCCAAAAACCAGACAGTTTTAAGACTGAACTGGCGGAGGGTGCATCGATCATATTTTCACCTGCCGATAGGTTATGGATTACAGATATACCAACCGGCTAACGGCCGACACCTGTCATACTTCTTCCTCTGAAGGCGGCATTTGACCGAACCAGTTTACAACGCTAATGAAAGCTCTCTACTCGAACTCACGCATCCGTATCAGGGCTTATGGAGAGTTGTCATCAGAATTGGCGACAACTACTGTTGTCCACCAGGGATACCTACTGTCACCATTCCTATTTGACTTCGTTATAAACGCAGTAATGGACATAACCTTAGGTACGTCTGACTTCACAGGGATTGACCTACTCCCTGGAGGTCATCTGGTTGATTCGGAGTATGCAAACGATATTGTCGTGGTATGTGAAGACGCTGACAAAATGCAGAGTTTTCTGAACATGTCGAGCAGAAATCTGAGTATGTTTGGCATAGTTTTCTCACTTGTCAGATGTAAGATGATGCTCCTGGAGTGGTCTGCCGTGAGTTCTCCCGGTTTAATGATAAGGAGTGAAGTGGTGGGATGTGTCTACCACTTTACTTACTTGGGGAATTGGATCAACATGAATGGCTTCGTTACTGACGATATCTCATCTGGAATATGGTAGGCCAGTTTGATATTTGCCAACTTACATCATCTCTCGCGCTGACTGGCAAGATATTCGGCTACGTGTTGGAGGACGAATATACTTCGTTACAGTCTTTTCTCTCTTGATCCACGGCTGAGACAGGACCTCTTTGAATTCGCCACTTTTAGTGGATATATTTTACGGACATATACAGGGTACACAGTACTTCCTATACTATAAGTGATGTAACTTCAAAAGTACTCTACTAAGTTCCTTCGAATACCAATGCGCTGAACGGATACCAGTCTTTATATAATTTAGATAGTTGGCGTCCTCAAACATTTTACTTCCTACTGCTAAGAGATGGGTCGATGTAAATTATTTCTGAAGAGACAATTCATACTTGTAAGTGTGAAGTGTATACAACATGCAATGCAACGACTGATCTCTACTATATATTTCTCATCTCACTTGGAGCTTTGTTTATCTAGTCGACACCTAACACATGTAATAGGACTGGCGCAACATCCATTTTGGATGTGTTTAAAAACTTACGACCACTGGAAATGAAAAATATGAAACGATGGAAGCATAAAACGGCAGAGCGTTATCCACTAGACGTTTGAAGTGTTCGGTCGTGGGTTCGAGCCTTGGTTGGAAAAATACCATTTACTGGGAGGCAAGTACATCCAGTCGACGAGTCCCAAATTGGACGAAATACGTGACCTTGATTCCACTGCTACCCACTATCTATCTTTAAAACATTAAATTGTAAGGGTCAAACTAGACGTCATTCGCTTCTTCTCCTTCGTCGTTGTTATCTCAGAATAACTATTACAGCATAAAATTAATAATAATGTAGTCAGTAATGTTGATCGATTGTCGAACAATCGCATAAACAATGTAGAGGTTAATCGTAAAACCCTAGATAGACTAGTTGGTGTGAGGTTGCGGATATTCATCAACTGAGGTAGATGAGTCATATTTTACGGGTTCCAGGCTATCGTCTGTTGCGATACATTATATGTGATGCATGAGAATATAAAATCTCTGACCGTCGGTCTCAACCTTGTCAAAAAATGTAGACTTCTGGGTTAGGAGGTATATATGACTGCTCAAATTGTTATCTAAAAACGTTTAGCAATAGGTGCAACTTAACCATATCTTCATATCAGCCGTTTTTATTTGCATTTCATTATTTACTTTGTCCTCTATTTTCATTCTACGACTTTTTACTACCTTCGTTCCTGTCTTTTAGTTACCGTTTACATTGATGCATTTATGTGTTGTATGGTAAAGTGGACCCTCACGCAATAGTACCAAGTCCATAAGTTGATAATAACTGACTACCTTAAAAGATTCAAAAATACTTTATACCTGTTAGGAATTACTGATTTTCTTAATCAAATAGTATACTTTTTATGCCTTTTTTTATTTCTGTTTCTAACTATAGGATTACGATTCTCATGTGATCAATGTGATAAATCATTTTCACATAAATTTGATTTGAACACACATAAGTCATTTTATCATGATGGTGAGTAATATATGTTAAACCACTGTCTACCGTTATACATATTATTATAATAAGGTGAATTAGTTCGAAGGGGTTTCAGAAGTAACTTGACCCAGTTATCACACTGATGAATAAGTCTTTTAACAGTTTATCTGATCTGTATAGGAAAAGTATGAGCTATTTGTCTAACTTTCTTGAGATGTTAGATAGAAACCAATGATTTGGGATGCTTAATATGGTACACGATCGTTCACAGTCGTCGTCTATATGTAATTACTCTTAGTTTTCTCTTTCGGAAATTCCGACATTTTTTGAACTTACTTTTACTTCAGCTGTTCACCTCCTGCTTATATCCAATAAGCCAGCAACTTCTGTTCATTTTCTCTGTTTGTTGTTGTAAAGTGTGTCAAGTTGAATTCTTAGAATCTTGTACTAGGATATATGTCACATATGTTCATCAGAAAAGCCATTAGAGAAAGCTAACCAAGACACCAATATCAGAGCAGTTGTAATTCATGATTACTATACTGGATTGAGTTGATCGATGTGCCTGAATATTTATTGTTAAAATTGATTTGGTTGTGGTTATCTTGTCTCCGTGGTCTAGTGGGTGAGGGTTTCGAGTCTCAGCAGAAACGCCATCATTCACTGGGGTGCAGGTATATTCAGCTGATGACTCCCAAGTAGGATGAAACGCGCATCCTGGATTCCACTGCTAGCCACAACCAAATCAATCATAGTAGACAACTTTGTTGAAGAAAATGTGATTAAATAGAATCGAAGATCACTGGGAACACAGGTGAATGACTAAGTGATGAAGTTTTTAGAACAACCGTTTGAAAAATAACTATTTACTTTTTGAAAAAGTTTAAGCTGCAGATGCAGTAAACGATTCTAAAGTGGATTTCCTTTCCTCACTTGTTTGACACATAAAATGCTTAAAGTTTTTAGGGTTCTATTGTGAATCTTCATCGACTGAGGTAGCTTGGACATGTTTTACACATGCCTAATCATCATCTAACCTGTTGCACATTGTTAACTGAATTAGATTCAGGCTACAAAAAGGGTAGAAGCGGTTGGACATAAACACAGCATCAGTCCCTGAAGCCCTTGACTATCCAGGTTGAGACTCCGCGTAACAACTGAAGTTGGTGTTTGGAGACTCCAGGTGAGATAGCTCAGAATTGATTCCAATGTTACAAATATTCCCTCAAACTGTCTTCTTCTTGGTCATACTGAATTCCAGTATTCTGTTAGTTCTCTTTGCTCCCTTTTGACTACTTTCTTTTTTATTTCTGTCTTTCATCTTTGTTAATTCTCCCTTAATGTGTTGATATGAGGTATGAGACGACTCATATCGGTTCTCAATAATCCCAGATCCTACGTTTGTATTGTCTATTTGTCTGACTAAGATCGTAATTGTAGTTAATTGAATATTTAAAAATGGTAAGCTTTAAGCTAACTGAAATCATATAAAGAAAGTTGGTTTATTGATAATTAATGTATCAGGTAGGTAGCATTTTGTTCTCAGCATATATTAAAGTTTCCCTGTTCGCTCTGCAGCATATCCAGATTTGATAGTATGGTGATCGTTTGTGTAAAGCTGTAGCTCCTTAGTTTTGTGCAATACATTTCAAATTGATAGATCACGTTTTCTAACCATACTCTGTTTGGACCGAATTGATCGGTCTGTATTGGCATATGGGCTCCTGTACGGATGCCTCGATATTGTCTACGTTCTAATTATGTTAATGATGAATAGTGGCTAGCAATGGAATCCAGGATGCGCATTGCGTCCTATTTGGGACTCACAGCTGGATGGACTTGCCTCCCAGTGAGTGATGTTTTTCCCACCGGGATTTGGACGGATAAATTCGGTCCAATCAACAACGGTATAATACAAGCAATGATACTAAAACTACACCCGTCGCACAAGAAGTGACTATCGTGGCTCGGTGGTGTATTGGGTATCGCTCTGGCGTTTGAAACGATCGGTGTCGAGTCCAAATCGCGGTGGGAACAACATCACTCACTGGGAGGCAGGTGTGTCCAGCTAACGAGTCCCAAATAGGACGAAATGCGCATCCTGGATTCCAGTCCTAGCAACTATCCATCATACTCTGTTTGCTAAGGTTTTCATTAGCTAAGCAGCGTGCCTTTTCCTTACACAGTATGCATAACTAATGGCCTAGTGTATGAACTTCTTCATGAGTTTTATTAGTTTTTCATGAATAAGCGTCTGCTAGAATAACTGACACCTTACATTTCCTGTTTTCTTTCCTACCTGCCTTTTCAATCCATTTCTTTCTAGGCATAAATTTTCGCTGTGAAGTATGTGAAGAAATATTTTCACGTAAATGTGATCTCAATCAACATTTGAGTAGTATTCATTGCATTGGTAAGTTCATATGCATGAATATGTGTTAGTTAGGCATATTCCTTATAATGTTGAGCCATTACCATAGTCTTCGATACAATCATGGGTTTCGAAGACTATAAGCCATCCTGGGTAAATCGTCGTGAGGATGCTGGTCATCAGTATTTGTAATTGATGCATCTCTGCACCTATATCCCATACTATAATTTTTTGATGGCAACCTATATCCGTCCAAACACTTCTGCTCAATAAATAAAATGACATTGAGATGATGATGGTTGATGAGACTGTTACGTGACTAGAATTTGGAAACACGAAATCGTAAAATATGACGAAAATTTCTGTCTAGATTGGGTTGTAAGAATCAGATATGCAGCCTTCTTTAGCTTCTAAAACATATGCTTACAAGCCGTGGTCAGCGCTGCCCCCTGCCCTCAAATGTGAGAGTATTGGACCTTGCTTTCTTACTTCAGTGAAGTATCAGACATGAACATTCTGCTACTCAAAACTGTCTACTGGAAATCCCACTGACTCAACACGTTTTTATGTGGGTTTACAACAATAGGTTTTACCTATCAAAAGGTTTATCCGATGTCACTGTTGCTTTTCATCTATGTTCCAGACAGAAATAACAATTATTATAATTGAATTTTGGGGGTTTGTGGGGACTTAGAGGCTTTTTTTCCAAGTTGGTATTCATCGCGGGAAAAAATCCCCACAAACCCCAAAATTCAATTAAACTAGTACGCATTAGTGACTAGCTTCGAGAAGTTATTCCCGAAGTTCCAATAAGAACTGATGACCGGTGGGGCAAATCTGGTGGACCTAAGGACAAATACTCAACGATGACATTGGGTGACGGTCATGCTCTGTTGTAAACTGACAGAAGTTGGGAATATGGACCACTGAATTCCGACCCAGTGGCTCAATAATAACGTGCTGGCCATGGAACCTGAGGGTTGCTGGAGGGCACTGTTGACGAGTCCCATACTGGGACGAAACAGCTGTCCGGTCCTCCCAGGTTCTCAGTGTTCCTCCAAACTGATGTCAGTCCATGATGAATACCTACTTTGAAAAAAATTATTACTATATTGAAACAGTCAATGTTATAGGTGAATGGAGATCAAACCGAATGGAATGGTGGAATGGTAATCAGTTTAGTGTGTTGGTTGTGCAACATTTAGTTAGTATACAATATTTACGAAATGAGGAGACAAAATCTACAGATAATGATTTTTGTTTGACTGTCAGATAGCCGTAGTTTGGGAGACTAGCATTTATACTGGGTGATGCTTCATTTATATACGTGTATTGAGGCATGAATGTGTGTGTTTACTAAGGGTCAAATAATAACTATGTATTGATGAGTTATATTCTAGTGGGATGAAACCATGTGAATACTATAACGACATAGAGAATAACAAATGTGAAATGTTACGTCACGGTTAAAAATGACTACCGGTAGTGGCGTGAATAAAGAAGGGGCATAAGAAAATGAGTGTTTATCAATGTAATGACAATGGATTAAAAAAGTATGCGACTTGAAAATGTTCAATCTGTGGTGGCAAAGTTCACGAAGAATGTGTCGACCGTATTGGGGGCCAAAGTAAACAAAGTGGATGTACACTTCCTTGCGTTTATCCCAATGACTTCGGCTATAGATAAGATGTGAAGTCATGCACCTTCAGGGAGATTGCAAGGGACACGGTATATCACAGAAAAGGCATGATCTACCTAGATCTGGTGTCCGGTATCTACTAGATGTAAGAGGTTTGCACTGTTGATACTCTTTGTCATTCCTTTCCTTAACGAAGATGGTACATGTTCACGAGCATGCATGGATAGAGCCGTTTGAGTGCGGCTTATGTAAATAGCTCCACAGGAGCGGTTGAACTCATAAAGAAGGTTATTTAAAACAACTGTTCGCTCAAATTATTTTTGTTCTGAATAATATATGGGAATCTTTAAATTATTAAAAATAAAATCATGACAACTATCTCCTGTCCGAGAATCAGCTTATCAAGATAGAATTTTTTAGACGATGACTCCCATAGACTTCTGAACATCTTGAGGAAAAAATTGTGAACTTTCCTAATTTCGTAACTGATAGGCTTGTTAATGATGGAATTTCTGTTCGACATTTGCGAGTCTACGTCATGTGCATCATTTTTAAAATAGCCAGAAAGTGAATAGTACTGCTGGGGGTGTTCTGATATACCATATTTTAAATCTATCAATCACTACTAGACGTTGTTAAGGGGTCCTATGAGCTTGATTCGAGGTGTTTTCGAGGTTTACTGGTATGCGACGTAACTCAGAATATGTAGTTATGGAAGCCTAGGTAAAGAAAATAATGTATTTACTCTGGTTCTTAGCTTACGCCATATTTTGATGTATGAAATCGGTACCCATACTAGTATTTTCTTGACTGGAGGAAAATTGGGTTAGAACCACCCTATAATGTTATACATCCGTTGTCTAAATCAAGTAAATAAGTGTAGTACTTGGGATATCAGAAAAATTATGATGAAAGTGAAACCTGAGATAATTGTGTATTAGTTCGTTTTACCTTTCCAGCAAAAGAAATCGAATTCAACAGGAATAGAGTGGTAAAAACTGTCGAAGACAAATGATTAAAAACCTTGTATGTTCATGAAATCATCAGGACGTATAAGTGCGTCTAAACTACGTATTCGGGAAAGTAGGAGTAGGTTGGAAGAGGGTTCGGGGTGACCAGACCAAGATGGCACCCGTCCATGAAGCCTCCTACTGTTGGTCTGAACCGTGTAAGGAGACGTTAACTATCTGACTGGGGTCCCCGAGATGACAGGAATCAACGATTGAGGACCCTTAGTGAAATAGCTGGAAATCAGCCACAATGACACAGATGTATTCATTCCTTGACGTCTTCTAAAGCTTGAATACTTGCAGTAACCTTTGTCTTCAAATTGTTTATTCTCATACACAATTTTGTCTACTTTGATATCACTCCTTGTCTTTGTGTACTGCTGTGAAATGTGGCAACTTGTGATGATGCATTTGTGTGCAGGGTTTGATGTTGATTTTGTCTGTCTACATCACCTCGACAGCCATTTCATTTCAAAGTAGTGTTAGTAATTCATTTACGGAGAAACTGGTTAACATAGTTCACGACTGATGACCATGTCACCGATTTACTCTATCATTAACTTCCTCAAAATCCTAATTTTTTCTTATCACTATGCTTAAGTATTCGTTCATCGTTCACTTACACCTCTGTCTGTTCTATCCCCTTTCAAATGAATATTTTAAACCTGTCAAATGGCTCAGGGTTCTGCTGGAAAACAATAGAAAATTACCTCATATATGTGAAGTCGAAATCGTGTAGTTTATCTCATTGTCCAATCTGATTTGAATCATCTTTGTTTCAAACATAATTATTACTCATTCACAACCAAATTTTTCACTCGGCAACCAGCATTTGTTAACTATCAGGTCATATTTTGAACAAGATTCGTTTCCATTTCCTTGATTTTCTCATTACATATTGAATATTGGATAACTGTATCCTTTTCAATGGGACATACCGATACGCCCATGCGAGATTGAGACGAAAACTGTCAAATTTGGTAGGAAGCACCTTCCAATTCAACAGTCTAAATTCTTCAATTTCCATGGTTTCGCTGTATGCCGCTATAATGTCGTCTGTTAGTGTTTATCCTCATACTTGGCTTGTTTGATCCCACAAGTCATGGCTTCTCATTTAAAACTTTGTAAAACTCCTCTACTGGTGAGTCAGTCATGAGAACTGGCTTAGCATTCGGTCGGTAGTTTTTATACCAAATGGTAGCATATTGGCTACGAAATGTAAAAGTCTTAGCCTCGGTCTCACATGGTAGCATGTACATACAATGTTGAGGAGTTCTATGCTATGGCGAAACAGCTGTCCAGTACCTCTTTATTTCTCATATTTCTCCAGTTACATATAGTTGTCACCTACTGAATATACCTTGATAATATCAACTTGTTTTATGTTACCCTGATTATAGGTAGACAATTTCAATGTCAACATTGTGGTAGATCTTGTTCATCCGAGGGTATTTTGAGGAGGCATATTCGAGTTATTCACGAAGGTATGTTATTATACTAGGGAAGTTTTCATTTCACGTAAATATTAATCAGTAGTTTATCACATTTTCTTTTCTGCACACAGTTTTACGCATAACTAAAGATAATAATCCGCCAAAACAACGCAAGAACTGTCATAATAGTCATTTTGTATTCGAACACGAATGATTGGTGACGGTCTGAGAAGAACTAGGATAGCATGCGTATGTTACTAATGTCCGTACTGTCTACAGAATGACAACCTTGATTTGATAATGTTTTTCTCATTCGCCCCTAATTTGTCAAGATCATCTACATCTTTTTTAGACTGCGTACACATTTTCTGTGTATTTCGGAAAACGTCATTATTCATTTCAAGGGTAACAAATAACTCTGATCCTTTTTAGATGTTCTCCCATTTTTAGTACATTATATTCTCGATTGGCTTAAAAAGGTTTAAACAGGAATAGTACAACCTGAAAAAAAATATAACATATGTGTGATTGATTACTGATAAAACACCATCTAATATTGGAACAAAAAGCTTGAAAATCCTCATTTTCAGTCAGATCTTGTGATCAGGAATAAGTAACTTGAACTTATTATCCTACCAATTGTCTATCTACGTTTATTAATCTCACTCAGTATCGGCTGTTATTGAGTTTGTCTAGAAGATGATTAACTGTTAATTAAGCTGTCTAAAATACGCCTAGTTTATTAACTGTATATTCATTTGGACATCATTATTGATTTCCAAAATGGTGAATGAGATGTCAGTTGGATCGATGCAATCGGCAGGTAGCCTTGATTGGCATAGATCCTGTGATTTTGGCACTCGTCAGTGAGGTGTATCTGCCACTTCGACAGAACCATTGTCCCTACCTGAGATCTGAACCCACATCACGCAGTCGTTCAGTCAGAGATGTTACCACTAAGCTATTCGGGCTGTAGCACTGGATTAGATATATTGATTGGTCACTGGAGAGTAACCAACTTCGTGTTGTATAGTTCTAAGTGCTGACCGAATTCTATCGATCATTTTGCAGCATCGCCAGCTGACTAGAAGACTCACCGTTGAGATATCAGAAACAGATGTTAGTTGATCGTGTTGGTTTATTTGTCGTTTCTTTTTCGACCATCCGGCCCCAAAACAACCATACGCAAAAAGCTGCATGTGACAGGCCTCAAGCAGATATCTGTTAATTGATCGTGAATTGGGCTTGAATTCTAGTCGAGGTTTATGTATTCATAATTTCATTCAAACACTCATCAAGAAATCACTCATTCACATTACAACTATCGATATTGAACTTGCTTTCCATTAGTGTACATGTTTAACTTGTAATCAGAGAACCATCGATTCAAGAATTATTCCACTCGGATGACTTTCAAGTTGTCAGATGGTATCATCAACCCTGACAATTGTGTCGTAGCTCTATAACTATGGTCTATGTATCTGTATCCGGTTCTCAAGTCATATTAAAGTAGTTTTTTAATCTTAATAAATACTCATCTGTTTGTAGTTTGTTTTCACTATACTTTCACTTACTGTAGTACCAAACTGAATACTTAAAAAGTGTATGAATTTTGACCAATTTCAGGTTTCCACTGTTTATCATTTGTTTTTATTTTTATTTTTTTGACTTCATATAGGACATAATTTCCCATGTGGTCAGTGTGGTAAAACGTTTACAAGAGAATGTAATTTAAGAGAGCACAGATTGGCATTCCATGAAGGTGAATTTGATTAACTGAATTGCTTGCATAACATTTTTCTATGATAGTTTTATATTGATTGGAGAATAAAATCTATTTCACAGATAAATTACTAGCGAAGATAATTATTTCTCAGTATATCTATTACGTAATGATAAGGAAGTCTGTGTATATACATTTTAATAAATGTACTGTTTTGGAACTATTATGGTTGATCTGTTCCATTATACGACTGTTAATCGTGGCTGTTGAAAGTAGATGTGAAGAAATTACAGGCTTTTTATCACAGGCATCCTTGCAATCTCGCTTACGCATGGTAGAATCACCGTGGAAATAATGTTGAGATTAAGAGGAAGGTACTAGGCGAGGAAGGCAGGTCAGTTGATGAGGTTGTGAACCTTTATCGACCGAGGTAGTTTGGGGATGTGCTGTGCATGCTGACCCGTCGTCTACTGAGATATGCAATGTTAGCCGAAGTAGGATTAAGTTGGTAAGACTAAGATATAACACTAGTTCATTGTCCTGACTACTGGTCTGATTCATGTACTCAGGTTTAGGCTGCCTGATTTGGCTTCTTGAGACGATTGGAATCAATGGTTGGCGAACCTTGGTGAAATGGCTGAAAATTAGTCACAATAGCACAGATGTATAGGCTGCTTTTGTTTTTGAAGTCTTCAATATATATTTCCACCAATCTTCCTCTATTTACGCTACTTTCTGATGCATCTCTATCCAACTTTTCTCTGCATGCTACTGTGAAGTATGACAACTTGAATCGATGCATTTCTTTGCGAGGTTCTGAGTTCATTTGTTTGTCTGTTTTGGAGTTTAACTGTGGACTAATTCCCATACTTCGAATTTACTCTAATTTAGGACCATGCTGAAAGAAAAGAAAAAAACCTAATTTTGAATTGTTACGACATTTAAAACTAAGATAGGTGAATCATTTACACGGCGCACTGAATTTATATATGTCAATTACAGATACATGCTTTTATCTGGAGGCTTGTTAATTGATTTTAGATTGGAATTCGTCATTGACTGACGTCAATGATAACGTGCTGACCACGGAACTTGAAGGTCTTGGGTTCGATCGCTGTTAGTGCCAGGTGATGGGTGTGAACCGCCAAGGAGTCCCATGCTGGGACAAAACAGATGTCAAGGGCTCCCAGGTTTCCACTGTTCCTCCAACTGATGTCAGTCCATAATAAATTCAAACCTAAGATACATACTTTTGTATGTGTACAAAGCTGATCACTGTCGCGTATATAAGAATAAGTAATTATATTAAGACGATGTACTCAACTGTCTCATAAGTTTGCATATTGGTTATACGGGAGTCATAGATAAATGACTCATTTCATACATTTGCATGTAGTTTTACCCAAATCGACGCTGTAATAACTTCAGAAAAATAACTGATGACATGATTTTATTTCGTGAAAAATCTACCTTCTTAGCCAAAATTTAAAAAAAAACCTAGTTCTTCAATTATACACCTCCCAGATTGATCTTTGACTACCCACTCAGCAGCCTTCCGCATATTCGCACAGTAGGCAGTTAGCCATACCTACTGGCTGCCTAAACCTCGGTAGGTGGAGCTTGATTCGAACCCATGACCCGCTGATTGAAAGTCAACTGTTTAAACCAGTAAGCCACAACTCATCTAATAATCACAAATCATCAAAATAAATCACTATTCTCATTTTCACACAATGTCAAAAGCCATATATCTATCCATAAATACTTTTGTAACCAGCTTTTATTTTTATTCAGATTGCAAACCGTTTCACATAAAATCTACTTGCATCTTATTGTTTCTGTGTGTTTGTATCGCTGATCATTATCGGTATTTGATTGCTGATTTTATTATGTGTTCATTAGTTACTAAACTTTGTGTAGTAGATTAGTTATTTTCGAACCATAACGCTAACTTAAATAATAATTTTTAATTCAACCTCGTGAATAGCAATACTTTTACCGTACATTTTTCTGTTTTTAAAAAGAATTTAGCATTCTTATTGTTGGTGATTGTTTTTGAGGTAAAAAGAAGGTGTATTTTATTCATTCTCATTCATTTACCTTCGTCATATCATTAAAGCGTGATAAATAGTTATGTTGCTAACATTGTGAATGTTCATTGATTCAAGTGACTTGGATTTGCACTATGTAGGTAGACTCAGTCTATATTGTCTACATTTATGTTTGATGTTAGTTAGAATAGAATTAAGCTGTGAAAAACTTAACGTGAACTGACCAAAATATTTCATCAATCTATGAAGTCTTTAACTGTTGGCATAAGTCTTGTAAAGAAGTGTTTACCTTTTGGTTGAAGTTTTATATACATACAAAGTAGTTGAAGATGTAACTGAAAATCAATCACAGGTGTTCAAATGAATTCATACTTTATCTTCATATCAACATAATACCTTTCTATTCCCTCAATTCACATTGCTTCTTGTTTTATAGTATCGTATGTGTGTCTTGATTACTATTTTTATTTATTTGTCTTTTCTTTCTCACTGACTTTACCTTAGTGTATTCATGTTAATTTTTTGGTCATTGGAAACATCCATCAGTTTTGTCTGTTTCACCGGCTTAATATTTCTTAAACGTATACACTTTCACAATCTAAACACTGTTCAAATATCAGTATTGTCTGCAGTTTTACTTACCTTACCTTAAGGGAATTAGTTTCACTAATATTGTGTCCAAGATCCTACGGTCTATAGCTATATGATATCCAACTGGAGCAGACAAGCCTGGAAGAGGGTGCATCGATCATATTTTCACCCTCCGATAGGCTACGGAACTCAGGCATACCTACCGATAAGTGGTCGACACTTGCCATATTTCTTGATCTGAAGGTGGCATCTGACTCTGTCGACCGTGAAGTGTTGTAGCAGTGTCTGACTGTGAATAAAATACCGAGCAAGTATATGACACTAATCAAGGCTCTCTACTCAAACTTACACAACCATTTTAGGGGTTATAGAGGGTTGTCATCAGAATTGGTGACAACTAGTGGTGTTCGCTGAAATGCCTTTGTTGCTGTTCCTATTTGACTTCGTTATAGATGTATTGATAGACATAACCGTAGATACTTCTGACTTTACAGGAATTTATCTACTCTCTGGAGGTCATCTCTTTGATTTTGAGGTATGCAGACGATATTGTTTTGTTGGGTGAAGACGCTGACAAAATGCAGTCTTGTAAACACTCTGAGCAGAAATCTGATTATGTTTGACATGCCTTTCGTTGGCACCTGTTAAATGTAATCTGATACTCCAGCACTGTTCAGCAACTACTTGTAGGATAGGGGATAAAGTGGTAGAAGGCGTGGACCACTTCATTTACTTAGAGTCGCATCACCCCGATCGAGCTGGTTGCTGATATCTCATCTGGGATATAGAAGACCCGTTTGACATTTGTCAACTTGCGTTATCTCTGGCGCCATCTGGCGAGATATCCGACCACCTGCTAGAGGACGAATTTATTCTGTTGCAGTTTGTTGTGTTCTGTTATGTGGCTGTGAGACATGTAGACGATGCAAAGCGATCACTGGTCTCTGAAAACAGGTGCCTTCGTAGCACCACTTGCGTTATGTACACTGGGATCACCATGTGAGCAATGTTGAGATCAGGCGTAGGGTACTAGTCAAGACGCAAAAATTGATTAGTCAGGTTGTGAACTTAAATCACTTAGGATGCTTAAAAATGTGTTGCGCACGCCAATCCGCTGCGTGCCTTGACGTGCCATGCTAGGGGAAGATGGATTAGGTTGGAATGGGGTTTGGGGTCGCCAAACCAAGACTTGGCACCAGTCCATGAAGTCCTTAACTGTTGGTCTGAACCATATAGGAAGGTGTCGACTACTTGGCTAGGGTCCGGGAGATGACATGAATCAATGGTTTAGAATTCTTGATGACAAGGTTGAAGATCAGTTACAACGGCACAGATGTATTCACTCTTTGACGTTTTCAAAAGCTTGAACATTCAGATTGTTTATTCTCTCATGCAACTTTTTCTACTTAGACATTACTCTTTTCCAATCTATCTGTTCTTTGTATACTACTGTGAACTGTGGCAACTTGAGTTGATACACATTTGTACAAGGTTCTTTTTTTATCTATCTATTTGTTTGTCTCTGTCTAGTAGTCATTTTTTCTCAACTCATTTCACTTATTATAATATAACATACTACATTGTTTGCAATAGCTCAAAATCAAGTGGAAACTGTTACTTTTCACTGTATTCTTTTGTTAATATTCTAATGAAATGATAATATATTGATGAAATCATATGAATGAATTTTGTGTTACTGTTCATGTTTATAATTAAACATATTCCATCAAAAGTTCTAGTGAACCTTTGGCTAATGGTTCATACTGTTAATTGTGTTTTCTTTTTAGAGCAACAGTGAATGAATTCATTTCTTTTCATTATTATTGCTATCAATGTGTCAGATTCATTCTCTTGTTAATTTATTTAACGTGTGACATTCTTTAAGGGTAAATAGTTGCTACTGTTTTATGCCTATTTTATGTTGAATGCCTATATGGGGGTTTTCATTTTCATTAAATTATTATTACCGTCATCATTATAAAGCTTACGTCTACCTTTTTTTCTTCTCTCAATTAAAGGTATATTCTTCAAATGTGATGAATGTGACAGTTCGTATTCCTCCCGGAGTATATTACTCAGGCACGTTAAATATGTGCACAGAGGTAAGAAGAAATATTCAACGATATAATATTACTGTTCACCAGTATCATTTACTTTTGTCAAATATAATTGTTATTCATCGTAGACTGACATCAATTGGAGGAACAAAGGAAACCTGGGAGCACTGAACAGCTGTTTCGTTCTAGTATAGAACTCCTCAACAGTGAGCACCCACGACCCTGCCAGGTTTCCGTTGTTCCTCCAACTGATGTCAGTCTACGATGAATAACAACTTGAAATATCTCCAAATCCCCACAACTCCCTCAAAATATAATTGTAAAGATCACTTCCTTCTGATGTTACATTAAGTGATCTCTTCGGTGGAGATTTCGTAGAAAAATTAACAATGCTCAAATATTAAATGTGTTAAATGCACACACTAAAAAAAAACATCAAGTACCCTGTGAAATCAGAAAAGAATGTTTAAAATTTCTTTCAATTTTTTTCCGAGACTACTTTGTCACAACATCTTTTGAACTTTGATGGAGTTGTGGAGATTTGGAAATATTTCAGGTTGTTATTCATCGTAAACTGATATCAGTTGGAGGAACAAAGGAGCACTGGACAGCTGTTTCGTCAAAGCCTGATGGTCGTGAGGACAGTTACTCAACGATGACATTGGGTGGCGGTTGCGCTATATCATGAGCTAACAGAAGTTGGAAATATGGACTATTGGATTCTGACCCAGTAGCTCAATGATAACGTGCTGGCCGCGGAACCTGAAGGTCGCGGGTTCGATCCCTGGCGGGGTCGTGGGTGCGCACTGCCGAGGAGTCCCACAGTAGTCGGACGAAACAGCTGTCCAATGCTCCCAGGTTTCATTTCTTCCTCCAACTAATGTCAGTTTACGATGAATAACATCTTTTTACAATAAAAAGATAAATGATTTGTTGTGTTGACCGCTTTACCTACCTCAAAACTAACATCAACTTCAGTGTATTGGTGACTGACGAAAGCTAATTATGGATGTAAAATGCGAAACTGGCTTTTCTATCTTACCCCGAAGTTCACTCTTGATAGTTTTGTATTTAATCTAAGTTTGAAGTTAACTATTTTTGTATTATTGCCGAGTCTTTTTAGATTTGTTCACGTGTGATCGATGTCATACTTTGCTAAGATTTAGGTACATGCTGCTACTCCAGAAGTAGTTCATCGCTTAGTGATGTTTCATTGTTGAATTGATGACGTCCTCTATATTGTTTATCATTATTGACCTGATTTCTCATTTTCTTTCAAAGTAATCATTAGAATTCAAGGAATCTCTGTTATCCGGCATTATAATATTATTGTTATGTCCTCGTGTCTTGACGATTTGGCCGATGTTTTGGTCGTAACGTCGGTTTGGGCCCTACGGTCAAGAGACTAAAGGAAATGCCCAGCACTGGTCCTAATTAGTATTATTCCCCAATTTACTATGTACGAGTTGATCTTACAGCCATAAACGTCACGCCACCTGACTTAAAGCGTAGTCGGCTTGCTCAGAATATCAAAGAATGAGAACATGAAGAACATTCGAAAGTGATTGGTTGTGGTTCTCAGCCTCTCTGGTTACAGATACAGCATTTATGATATCGAAAATGCTTCGCTTATTTTATTAATGTTCCTCATTAGCTGAGATTTTAAAAGTAAATATGATATTCGTTTCTCGACCGTACAATCATACAGACTATTACATAGGACACGAACTTCTTGCCTATAGTTTTTTTAATTGATCAAGTTGCAGCTGGTAGTGGAATCCAGGATGCACGTTTCGTCTCATTTGGGACTCATCAGCTGCATATGCCTGCATCCCATTGAGGGGTATTGTTCCCACGGAAACTCGAATCTCATACCAATCGCTTCAATTGCACAAGGGTTATCCGCTGAGTCACGTTAACCACCCCTTATATAGGGGGTATTGGTTATTATTATTTATTGATAATTGTAATTTTCCTTTCTTATATTGCATCGAATTAGCATATAGGCTGCTACGCGGATACCTCGATTTGGTATTCATCATGGACTGACACCAACTGGAGGAACATTGGAAGCCTGGGAGCACTGGACAACTGTTTCGTCCTAGCGTGGGACCCCTCAGCAGTGCGCACCCGTCACCCCGTACCAACAGCGATCGAACCCAGGACTTTCAGGTTCCGTGGTCAGCACTTTACAATAGAACCACCTGGTAGGAATCCGGTGGTTCATATTTCAATCTTCCGTTGCCTAAGGTCGATCAATTCGATCCAGTTTAGCAACGGGGAATTACAAGTATCAACAAATAATAGTAATAATAATAGTAGTTTCTTGTTCTAGATACTTTCGCAATGTTTCACAAACACTATGTAGACCGTCTCCTTATATATCTGCAACTGCCAGTTGTGGTTTTCCAACCAAATCGTAAATTTTGACTCGTTCACACTTCAACTGAAACAGGCTTACAGATTATTTTAGAACGTGTAGTGATTTTCAACTATCTTGGAACGAAACAAGATAGATTCATCACGTAATTCTTATTCTTATTCAGCAGTGTTATGATTTTAAAACGTCTCCACTGTAATGTGCATTTTCTATTACCAATTTATTTGGATTTCTTTTTCTATAGGTGTACACTTTCGTTGCGATCGTTGTGTTAAGATCTTTTCAAGGATGTCTCATTTACGTAATCATCAAATGGCTGCACATGAAGGTGAATCATTCTTTTACTTATCACGCTAATTTTTTTTTTTGTATACTTTCATGAAATTCGTTACTCTTTGTGAGACTTTTTAAGAAATTTAGTGTACGTATCAAGTCTGTGGTGCTTATCAGAGTATATCGATGGGTTTTGAGTGTGACCACCAGGCTGAGTAATGTGTCATTGCAGCACACTATATTGTTCGGTTCTTAGCATCATATTGGTGAGTTATTTTATAAATTTGCGTAGTATGTAACCTCAGGAGATAAGAGAATTCAGTATATCCGATGTTGGCATTAATGACATCAATGCAACACTGTTTTATTTAGGTCTTTAACAGTTATACGAAATGATGTGTCCTGCAATGAGATGGCTATATTTCCCACCTCAATTTTCATTGTATATCTATGAGTAGATGCTCTCTTATTTGAATTGAGAAACGATGCTTCCCTAGGCTGCCCAGTGACAACTGCGTATTTATTCTCTTCGAAATTAAAAGTCCCACTTCAGTGAAACAAGGTGAGCTGTGATCACTTACTAATTACATTGTCAAGAACGTCAACTGTACCTACAGTGTTGCTTCGTTCCTAGAATTTTCTCATCCATCATCCTTCTGCATCCCTTTTACAGAACTCAAATTGAGTAATATCACTGCCGACATGTTTTACGCTTACGTAGTTACTGTTTATCTCGTCGCACACTTTTAGCTGAAGTAGGTTCACACTTGGAAAAGGTTAGAGGTAGCCAGACTAAAGCTTGGCATCAGTTTATGAAGTCTGTAACCTGGTTTGGGCCATGTAGGGAAATGTAGACTTCTTGGTTGAGATCCATATGACACTCAAAACCGATGGTTGGAGAATTTTGACGAAATGGCTCAAAATCGATCTGAATGATGCAGATGTATTCACATATTACCTTAGTCTTAGTCGCTATATGGAATTTCATCATTGTTTAGTTCCTTCTTTCTTTACTTTTCATAGTTTCCTACCGCGTTTGTTTACTTTCTTCCTTATTTCTTTATCTTTCATCTTGATGTATTGTTACGTGTTGTACTGATATGAGGTGTAGCAACTTGGTCCGTTACGCAGTTATGCTAATTCTCATAGTGTTATTGACTGATTAATAGATGCTTTATTCTGGAACGTCACATCATCTATCACACCTGGTTACTTTCGATGAATTATTACTTCAAATTAATTAAGACGTGTATAGCTATTTAACTGACTAAGTGTTCAACTCTAGTTTCTGTAGATCCAATTTGATTTCGATTCCATTCGCTGTTAACTTATTGCTATTGTATATACAGCTTATAGCTTATAAAAAATTTTTATAAAAAGTTGTAGTTTCTTTGATGCTACAATATCTTCGTTACTGGATGATGATTGAAAGTGAAATGAAGATTTTGGCCGCTGCAGGATTCAAACCACAGGCCAACTGAACTACGAGATTGATAATCTTCACAGATAAATGTGTTATACAAATACCACAATGAGGTTTTTAGGATAGCTTAATGTTAATTTGGTCGGTTGTAGCTAGCAGAGGAGTCCAGGATGCACGTTTCGTCTTATTCTGGACTCGCCAGTTGGACGTACCTGCACCCTAGTGATGTTGCTTCCACTGAGACTCGAACTCTGTACCCATCGCTTCAAACGCCAAGATGTTATCCACCATGCTACGGAGGGACGACAGCGACTTCTTGTATAACAGGCAATAGTTATTACTATTTACTGACATACTTGTAATTCTCCGTTGTTTTATTGGATCGACTTGTTCGATCTCTATTGGTATATGGGCTCCAACCAAATTGCCATAGTTCACACTCAGGCAATATCGAGGCATCCGGATTGGAGCCCATATGCCAAGAGACGTCGAACAATTCGATTCAATAAAACAACAAAGAATTACAAGTATGTCAATAAATAAGTAATAGCTTAATGTTTTTAGAACTGGTTACCTAGAAGTAGTAGTAGTTGTATCGTACAGATTTCATGTCTCATTATGCTATAGATCACTTCATTTTTTGACATGATGTTGTTGTTCAACAGAATTTAGTAAGGTGATTTTGTTAACAACATAATATTATTCATCTTTACAAATATCATTTTTTATTTCTTCCATTTTTCATCTTTAGGTGTACGATTTAATTGTGATCAGTGTGATAAAACATTTGTACATAAATTCGATTTGAAAAAGCATAAATTAGCTTCTCATGAAGGTAATCTAATTGATTTTCAGTACTTCAATTTTCCGAAAATCATTTTTGTGCATGGTCTTTTTGCAAGTTTATTGTTCTTCAATACTTAACAGCTGGATGATATGTAAGTCTACATCCTAGGAAGCACGTACTTAAAGTTTGATTCAGGTTGTCGAAATCGAAATGCACTCAGCAACAGTGTGCATATTTGTGCAGCAGACAATGAGCCACATAGTGTGTGACGGCTAATGATACTACCTGGCTGCACAAACCTCAGTAGGTGGAGACGTGCTTGGACCCATGACTCATTGTTTGAAAGTCAACTAGCTAAGCCAATGAGACAACTCCAAATCTATTTTACGATTAGGATGTATTTCAGCGCATACTCACCGTTTAAAGAACATCAAGACGAGATTTTTCTGAATGTTTCTCTGCATAAGACATTGTTTCTTCAGCAGAATATCTGAATCTGTATCCAACATATATAGGCATGTAGTACGCAAAATGATTTTTGTATATCAGTTATCTGTTAGTATGAACTTCATTCAATTGTCGGCCCAGTATCATTAGTGCGGTACAGACTGATTGAATTCAGAGTTTGTGCATTGATAACTATTGAACGATTTATAGCACTTTATTCGTTCCACTGTTTACTTGGTTTGACAGTATGATTTGAAGTCGGATCAGATTAGACAAAAGCTAAGAGCATTATGCTCAGTATATATATATATATATATATATATATATATATATATATATATATATATATATAATTTAGACTGAGAAGATTTGGGCTGTTTGAAGAATTCAAGTATCTCAGCTGGATTATTATGACTACATCACCGTTTAGATTGACTTACTTTGATTTCCGGTATTTCGATTATTTGGTTGTATACTGAAGTAACCGAGTTAATAATAATAATAATATATACGCGAACAGTATTAACGTAATGAGACATTTGGACCGGATACAAATAGCGACTGCTCTGCCTCAGAACCTAATACTACACTGAGCTGCTGAAATCAGAAGTCTAAGACTGGACTGTGACTGTAACGAAGACACTTTATTCGATACAAAAATAGTTTTCACATGCATACAAAATCACTGGGTCAGAAATTGAATACTTATTTTGATTGGTCAGCTATGACGTAAACTGTCCAATATGGTTTTCCTAACCACACAGCACCATAAAACAAAAATCGCAATATAAAAACTTCTACTATAGCGCTGATGACTTGAAATATTGATTTCGATTTCTCTCATATACAGAAAAATGTTCTACTTGCCAGAGGATGATTTCATGACACTCAGTATTGTATTCACATGACTCTTTATCCCCCACATTTGACCCCTTAGTTTGAGCAGTTAACTTTCAATCGTTGAGTCGGGGGTTTCGAACCCAGCTCCACTCACCGAGATTTATGAGTCCAACTAGAGTAGTATCATAGTCCTCATACAACAGTTGTTGCTCAACATCTAGCGAACAAACCTGCAGCAGGTTTATAGGTCCTATTTTAAAGTAATAACCTCTACTGTTATTTTTTAATTATTGTACTTGCATGAAATATAACCTGTTCAGGCGAGAAAAAATAAACATTATAGGTAGTATCTTTTTTTACTGTTGATCATTTTTATCGTCATTCGTACTGTACCCTTGTCTTTTTTTTGGTTTATCTTGACTAGGTATTGATATTCGTTGTGATTTGTGCAACAAAACGTTTACACGCATGTGTCGTTTAAAACATCATAAAGCAGCTGTTCATGAAGGTGAACATTTTACTGTATTCGGTGTATAAATGCTACTAAACATTGAATAAATACTTTCATCATATACGTTGTTGAATATTAATTCAACATCAATTAACTAGTATTGTCTTAATGTCTTCTCCTTCTTCTGAGGTTCACCATGTTTACTACTAAGTGATACGCAAATGTAGAAACCATTTAAATCAATAATTAGTGCCGGTTTCCCAGTTTAGTGGTATGTGTATACTTGACTAGTGTTTTGTTTACCCGTCATCGGCGTGTGTGTGTGGATTGATTCAACTTAAAAAGCCAAGTTGTATAAACCATCTCCTTTTTTTCCAATATTTAAAATCACGTTTAAATCACTTTAAACTTGACTAGCGAACACTTATGATTGATGTGAATGGAAACACAAGGTATTCTTGATGTGTCTAATTTCTTGTACCTTGCATCTCGATAATGTTCGACCTTAGTTATGAACAGATTCATAAGAAGTCGAAGGAAGATTATGACCAGTAATAACACAGGTGTTGGTAATAATTCCACTAATAATAGTAGTAATAATTCTGACAGGATGGAAAGTGAATCCAATACCTCAGAAGCGCTACGAATAATTCTCAATAAGGTTGGCTGGGATTAAAGTGGCATTTAAACCAACAAACTCGCTTAGAAACAAGCTTTATATGTTAAGAGATCCTATTGATCCAATTCTGCGAAGTAATTTGGTTTACCAAATCACTTGCAATGATTACGAGGTCAAATACATAGGTCAAAGCAGTCGACCAGAGTCGATTAGAATAACAGAGCACAAAAGTCTATCTAAATCAAGATTAGTAGATCTTAATAAGATAAGAAATCTAGGGAAAAGCTCTGCTATAGCTCTGTATGCTATGACACACAATCACATAGTAGGGTGGGATAGGGCGACAGTGTTGAAAAAACTAACTTAGTTGAGTGGAGGGAGAGATTGATAACCGAATCTTTGTTTATCGAATCAACATCAAATACATGCAATCGAAATGATTGTGCACCTGTCCCAGATATATATGGAAAATGCTACTACCTTTGTCATCACAAAGAAGGAAAGAAAATTAGAACTACATAAACTATGTCTCAAAGATGTGGAGTCACATGTTATAAATATAGACAATAATCTATGCCTGAGACGTTATCCAATAAGTGATACTGTTTTACATGTACATTTCTAACAAACAGGCTAAAATGGAATTACGCTGTATAAAAGTACCCACGTTTTACGCCTATATTAAGGGTGAAAACAGTATTGAGGTAATTTAATGAATGAGTTGATATATTATGGTTATTGCTCAGTATCGTCGGTAGGCAGCCGTATTGACACTCATCTTCTTTGACTATGTTTTTAACTACTCTTCATCGAAGGTTCATAGAACTAGAGCTGAAATAGCTTACTAATGAACACTGAGTTTTTATTATTTTCGAATTTTTTTTGGATAGTTGATTACCTTCAAAGTGGCTTTCGTCGTGAATCGATTTAAGCTAGTGGACGACTAGAAATCGAGAATTTGTGCTCAATTCCTTCTCCTTATTTTGTAACTCTTCGGTAGTTTTCCTCTGGCTGGGTACCAATCCATTATAAAATCTACTTCCGAACCTTTCAGTTCTTTGAAACTTTCCTACTTTACAGTTCCGTTGTTATAAAAGTCTGATAGTCTAAATTAGTTCTCTTTTTTGAAGAACATTGAGTCAAGCAAAGAGTAATGAATAAAGAATAATAATTGTGATTAATTGCAACTTATACTCCTCTATTTTTTTCTTTAATTTAAGGAATAAAATATGATTGTGATCAATGTAGAAAATCTTTTCTTTCGGAATTCCATTTAAAGAAACATAAAGCAGTAATTCACGATGGTATGCTATACTTTGTTAAATAGTCATAGTAAATATCACAAATTAATTTTTGAAAATACCTCTATGCTTGTTTATCCGTCTTGATATAAATCCTGTATGTAATTAAAATAATGATGCATCAGGGCTTATCACAAGCTACAGAGAATCCAGCCTGAAACTGAGTGACATGTAGATCTCTGTCCTCAACTTCTCCCTAAAGTTGATAAAGCTTCTTCTAACTTAAAACTATGCAAAACAACAAGACCTTATGCTTTAACATCCACCGTTTTCAGGTATTGAGGTAGGAAATCTCTGATTAGAGTTGTGTACATGAATCACGGTTAGTTTCATCAGACTATTCTATCCCACTAGTCATCTCATTCTATAAGAAGAAGTATAAACCTTGCGGCGTTCTTAGCAGAATCAGTTTGACTAATATTGTGTCCGAGATCCTAGGCCCATAGCTATATGACACCTAATTGAACGTGGATAATAGAAAACTAGAAAAAACTAGGTAGATTTCGAACCTGGACGGGGATATATCAATCAGATTTTCACCCGATACATTCTGGAGCACAGACATACCGGCAGATGGCCGATCAAACCTGATGGCGGCATTTGATCCTGTTCACCATGAAGTATTGTTGCAGTGTCTCACTTTGAAGGCAGTACACAGCAAATATGTGACATCAATCAGAGCCCTCTGCTCGAAATAACCCAGCCGTGTAAGAGCCTACGCAGAGTTGTCATCTGATCTGGTGACAACCACTACTGTCCACGAGAAATGGCCGCTGTTCCCATTCTTGTTTGATTTTGTTAAAGAGTTGTTGATGGACATAACTTTAGGTACATCACTTCATAGGAATGCATCTACTCTCTGAAAGAAGGTCTGATTGACTTGAACTACACAGACAAAGTTGTCACGCTAAGTGAAGACAAGACACCGACAAAATGCACACCATTCTAAACACCTTGACCAGAGATCTGAGTATTTTCGACATGCATCTAGTGCCCACTCAATGTAAGGTGATGATTCACGACTGGTGTCCAGCTACTTACAATTCAAGGATAAGAAGTGAAGGGGCAGAATGAATCGATCACTTCACTCACTTCTGCAGTTGCATCAACTGAACGGACTCGTCGCTGACAGCGTCCCACCTCGCATACACCTCCGACTAGTGAGATATCTCATCACCTGTTAAGGGATGACTATACTGCGTTGTAGTCTGTTCTCGCCTGTTATATGACTGTGAAACATGGCCTCTCGTACCAGACGATTTGAAGAGGTTACAGGTTTCCATTCACAGTCATCGTCATAGCATTGCTCACATACACTTACATGTACCTTGAAATCATCGTGTGAGCAATGTCGAGGTTAGATGAAGGGTACTAATCAAAGCAGGAAAGTCGATCGATGAGGTTGTGAATCTTCACTTACTCAGGTAGATTGAGTGTGTGGTGCACATGCTGAGTCACCACCTTCTGCGACGTGTAATGATAGTCGAAGTAGGACTGTGTCAGAAGAAGGTTGAGAGTGGTGAGAACAAGATGTAACACTAGTTAATGAAGTCTCTGACTGTTGGTCTGGTCTGAGTTGTGTAGGCATGTTTATATACCACGTGATTTGGGTCTCTGAGACTTTAGTAATATCAATGGTTGCAGATCGTTGGTGAAGTAAGTAGGTAGCTGAAAATCTATCACAATGACTGAAATGTGTTCATGTTTTGATGTCTTCTAATGCTTGAACATTTCCACTCATCTTCATTTTCAAATGCCTTTTTCTCTCATACTTATTTGTCTACTTCGATATCATATAGACCGATATAGTTGTGTTCGAGGTTCTCTGTCGCTCTTTCCTTTAACTGAAATGCGATTGAGGCGTATGTGGCATCTTATCATCCTACAAAAATGAGTATCTTACTTCTTACCCTTCTTGTTCATTTCATTTTGCACATATTCGTATTAATTTATCATTTCTGTGATACTGAGTTATTATGGAGCAAATGACTACATAGCCTACTGCGATTTCCTTGCGTTCGCTTCATATTCATCTTTAAACTGATAGAACTGATAAAATGGGTGTCATTTTTGTATTTTTTTTGTATTTAACCGGTTTTTGTTTCTCTTTAATTTATATTACTAGTAAAAACAGTGAATGACGATCGCAGAATTTCATGGGTTCACTTAAGGGGTGACCGTAGAACCAGGTGAAGTGTACAAGACTGACGATTGAATTACATCTACTTTTTAAATCTTGTCCATATATCATTGAAATTGCAGCAAATGCAGTTTGTCTTCTAAATGGTATCCAGTCTCTTACTTCATTCTTCAGTGCTGTGAGAAATGTATCAGTCACTAAATACAGTATGACCGAACCATCTGCACATTCAGAGATATTAGATTCGGATTTACCTACCTACAGACAGTAGGTACAAAGCCGCGAACTTGTTAGCTTTGAGTAATCCAGTGACATAACAGAAGATTATATTCCCTTTGGATTTCTGGTTGGGGGGGGGATTACAATTTATTCTTGTATTGACTGCTAGTTATTATATCAGTCTATTTCACTAAAAGTCGCATCCAAACAGCAGTTGTACATGGTAAATCTTGGGATCATCTGTCAACTGATTCATTTGTCTTTTGTTTATCATATAAGTTGTTTTTATGTAGAAACACAAATCGATCAGTTTGTACAGTAACTGATCTAGCTGTCAATGACTAGGTGCTGTTCCGTATCCATCGATCTATTTCCCACTGTAGTCATTAAACTGAATTACTCAGAGACTGAAGTTCCTTGTATTATGTGTATATGGTGATGGAATCAGCATGAAGTATTATTTCCTTATTCTAAATATGAACGGTCTAAGTGTGAATTGATTTGTTGACTTATTTGTATCATATGTTTTATGCTTCAGGATTTACTGTTCAGTGTGATGAATGTGATAAAACATTTACCCATGAAAATAGTTTAAAGCAACACAGGATTCTTTTTCATGAATGTAAGTTGTTCATTTATGTTTTTTATTTCGTAAACCCCTTATGAAAATCACTTTCAAGTCAATAAATCACGACAAGCCACCAATTGAAACACTTGCCAGTCCTCACTCATGACTTGTTTTAAGATACATTTCCCGAAGGTAAAATAAGGATTTCTGAGTAACCTGTGTGGTTGACGAACTTGTGTGTGAGGTGAAAGCTCACCGATGACGTTTGGCGATGATTGGACTATATTGCAAATAGATAAAACTAAGAGATATTAGACTATTGGATTCCAGCCCAGTGGCTGAATGGCAACTTGCTCTCTGTGAAACCTAGTGGTCCTGGGTTCCACTCCTCTCAGGGTTTTAGATGCATACACTGCTGAGGAGTCCTTGGACAGGATGAAACGGCTTTTCATTGCTGCGCATATAGGCTCCTACGTGGACGCCTCGATACTGCCAACAGAGGCCGAATAATTTGACCCTGTATAGCAAGTATCAATAAACAACAACTGATACCCGTTGCACCAGCAGTAGCTGTCGTGCGTCATTGGCCTAGTGGATAACACTTTGGCATTTGAATCGATGGGTAATGGGTTCATGTCTCAGAAAGTGCAACATCTATCACTGGGATATAGCTACATCTAGCTGACGAGTCCCAAAGAGGACGAAAGGCTCATCATTTATTCCATTCCTAGTCACCAAGATGAATACAAATAAATATGTAGTTTAATTCGCTCTTACTTTCTGGTTCATGCATTACTATCGTTGAGCGTTTTCGTTAACTTTGGTACCAGTTTTCTGACTAACTAGACCAAGATGACATCACATTGAGCATTGTTTGTGAATAGGAAGTAATAAATTTAGAACAGCTTATAGTAGTAGTTTTTTTATTCATTGTCTGTGTGTATATCATTCTATTTTACCTCTCTATTTTCTTCCTAGCCCATGCTATTCAGTGTCATTTATGCCCAAAAGTATTTTATTCCGATGAATATTACAGATCCCATCTGCAAGAGACACACAAAGGTGAGTACTATCATCTCACATAGATTTACTTATCTATACTATTTGATTTCATACTGCTTTCTTTATTCGTAATCACAATACTAGCACCAGGCCGGTAATCCGATGGTCGCTGATTTGAATCCGGCCGCGGTCCGGATTTTCATCTCACCTCCAGTATAAATTACAATGAGTATTATTCTTCAAAAATCTCCTAAACTTTGATGGTCAGCTCAATGATTGTGTTATAGTTTCTGAGTTCAAGTATCAATAGAAACACCATCAATCCTTGTGATACAGTTCGAAATAGACGAAATGCATGTACGGGATTCCACTACTGACCACCAACAATCAACCAAAAGGCTAGAAAAGGCTTTACTAGTGCAAATATATGGTGTTTCCACTCTAGTTTAAGTCATAATGTATGTGTAGACAATGAGTTTACCTATAGTATTCCAAACATTTAGCTCAATGTGGGACTTATTGTTGGGTGCTCAAATTGATTGCTCAGAGTGTTCTCTTGTCACTTTTTTTAAAAACTCATTGATACTGCCTATTTTTTTTTATTCCAGTAACTTTGTCCTTACAAACACACTTGTCAACACAATTCAATACTATGTCTTCATTACAAGAAGATTTTGTTGAAAAATTCCATAATGGTAAGTTCAAGTGTATATTCTTAGATTAAAGTTAAGATAAAGATAAGAAGACAGTCAACTATCTGACACTGTTCATTTTCTATCTTTTATTTGAGTACTATCGTTTTTCAATAGTTTATGCTTCCAGTTACTACAATGATACTTTTTCTTCTTTATTTTAGTAGAAAAATTTAGGTGTAATCCTTGTCAAAAGTGTTTCAGTAGGAATTATCAACTAAAACTCCACAACAAATGGCATCATGGTAAGTAGATTTATTGATTGTATTCATTATCCATTACTATTTTTCAGTATGTACAATATTATTCAAGTTACCAGAAAATCTTCTCTTTGACTCTCAAGTCATGTTTGTGTGGGATAGCTAGTAATGTAATCCAAGATGTGCATTTCATTCTACTTACGATTCATTAGCTTGGTGTACTTACACCTCAGTGAGTAATGATGTTTCCACTAAGACTTCAGCCCAGTTCCTATCGCTTTAAATATCAAAGCGTTATCCAGTAAGCTACTGAAGCATAAAAGTCACCTTTTGTCCAATGAGTTACTAGTTATTATTTATTGATAGATTTTATTTCCTGTTGTTTTCCTGGATCGGACTTTGTTGACAGACGGATTCCTACGCGAATGCCTAGATACCGTTTGCATATCCAGTCCGTCGTAATTTACTTGGTAGCTACGGTTGGAACCCAGAATGCGTGTTTCGTCGACTAGATTTCATCATCATCATCATCGTTATCAACATAGGACCAGGCATTACTGCGTAACGGTCCGAGTTGCCACACCTCATATCAGCACATCAAGTAAAAAGGTAGTGAGGCGAAGGATGAAGATAAGTGAATGCAGTCAAAAGAAATATAAAGTACGAGAAGAAAGGAAAGAGGAGTGACAAAATGGTGAGATTCGGTATAGCGTTGTTAAGATGAGGATAATGTGTGTATACATCTGCGCCACTGACATCCGTTCTGAGCCATATGACCTAGGTTCTCCAACCACTGGTTCCTCTTGTCCCGTGGACCCCAACCACCTAGTCTGCATCGTCCTACATGGCTTAAACCAACAGTCAGCGACCGATAGCTGCTACCTTGACGTGGTGGTCGGGCTTGCGTATCACAATGACCCAACGAGCTATGCTGGTGGAACGCTTGTTCCCTCGAGGTCCTACCATACCAGAAAGGTCTGTTGGATAGTGGTTAGACGGAAAGCAGTTACCGTTATAGTGTAAATTGCTACACTATGATGGGGGTCTGAGGGCGAAGTCGTACTGCTGCTAGCTGGATGGGGTGTGACAGCAGTAAGGTGTTTCCCTTGGATGACCAGCAGTGCCATGCTGATGCTGCCTTCTCAGTGGAAGGGGGGGGTTAGAAAAGGTCGGCCCCAAAAATAACACACTCCACCACGCCCCACGGTCTGCCGGGCCGGCGGTGTTGGTTCACTTGTCGTTTCCTTTCGATTAGATTTACCTGCTCCCAAGTCATTGATGGTGTTCCCACCAAGACTTCATTCCAGTTTTCATGACTTTAAACTCTAAGGCATTAATTAAGTCAAACTTATTTGATTAATTCTTTTCGTTGGTTTTCTCGCTCATGACAAGTAACTGAAATAATTTCGTACTAGGTTTCTGCTAACATTCTTAATACTTGAAAGGTTGATCTAAACAAATGGATTTGTCACAAAAAAAGTGTTTTGTCACGTTCCATTGTTAATACTTAAGTTATATCTTGTTAAAAATGTTAAACTTACTTCATCGGGGAAAATTCTAATCAACAAAGCATTCTGCATGCGACTTCATCTATCATCGTGATAGCGAATAATATCAGAGGAACAAACAGAATTCCATTCGTTCAAGTTGCCACACTTGCCGTGCAGAGAGCAAGTGAAAAGGAAAAGATTGATATCGAAGTAGACAAATAAGTATGAGAGAAAAAGTAATTTGAAAATGAAGATGAGTGGAAATGTTCAAGCATTAGAAGACATCAAAACATGAACACATTTCAGTCATTGTGATAGATTTTCAGCTACCTACTTACTTCACCAACGATCTGCAACCATTGATATTACTAAAGTCTCAGAGACCCAAACCACGTGGTATATAAACATGCCTACACAACTCAGACCAGACCAACAGTCAGAGACTTCATTAACTAGTGTTACATCTTGTTCTCACCACTCTCAGCCTTCTTCTGACACAGTCCTACTTCGACTATCATTACACGTCGCAGAAGGTGGTGACTCAGCATGTGCACCACACACTCAATCCACCTGAGTAAGTGAAGATTCACAACCTCATCGATCGACTTTCCTGCTTTGATTAGCACCCTTCATCTAACCTCGACATTGCTCACACGATGATTTCAAGGTACATGTAAGTGTATGTGAGCAATGCTATGACGATGACTGTGAATGGAAACCTGTAACCTCTTCAAATCGTCTGGTACGAGAGGCCATGTTTCACAGTCATATAACAGGCGAGAACAGACTACAACGCAGTATAGTCATCCCTTAACAGGTGATGAGATATCTCACTAGTCGGAGGTGTATGCGAGGTGGGACGCTGTCAGCGACGAGTCCGTTCAGTCTGATGCAACTGCAGAAGTGAGTGAAGTGATCGATTCATTCTTCCCCTTCACTTCCTATCCTTGAATTGTAAGTAGCTGGACACCAGTCGTGAATCATCACCTTACATTGAGTGGGCACTAGATGCATGTCGAAAATACTCAGATCTCTGGTCAAGGTGTTTAGAATGGTGTGCATTTTGTCGGTGTCTTGTCTTCACTTAGCGTGACAACTTTGTCTGTGTAGTTCAAGTCAATCAGACCTTCTTTCAGAGAGTAGATTCATTCCTGTAACGTCAGAGGTTCTTTTGGTTCTTTTCAACAAAACATGTATAATGCCATAATTGACTTGATTCCAGCTGACAGTGGGACCCAGGACGCGCGTTTCTTCCTGTTTGGTGTTTACTTTCATCCCAATGGTGGTGTTGTTCTCATGGAACCTAAACCCCAAAACCATCGCTTCAAACCGGAAGGGTCACAGTGGCCTTTTTTCGCAGATACTGCTAGTTGTCATCAGGTCAGACGACAACTTTGCACAAACTCGTACAAGGCTGCGGGATTTTGAGTAGGGAGCTGTCGACTAACGTCATGTACATGCTCGGTAATCCGTTCTTGGTCAAAGACTGCCACAACACCTCTCAGTCCGCTGAGTCGAATACCGCGTTCCGGTCAAGAAATATTTCGAGTGTTGTCCGCTGGCTTGTATTCATGTTTTCCGTAACCTGCGAAGGTTAGTGATTTCATCAATGCTTCCTTGTCTGTGTCGGAAAACTGTATACTTTTCTCGAGTTCACTGTTCTCCAGGTCTAGTTAAGTGTCATATAGTTTTAAACCCTAGGATGCTGGACAGGACGTTAGTTAAACTGACTCACGCCTATGCTTGTCACAAAAATGCATCTTTTTTTCCATAGACTAGAATAATCAGCGATCTAGAGCAGTCCAATGGGACTATGTTGGATTCTTATATACTACTTAGTACCCCCATTACTGTGGTAACTACTTTCCTACCTACTTTTCCGAAATCTAGGGTTAAGTTGTCAGTTTCTACTGCTTTACATCGTTACAGGTTCAAAATAGTTAGAGAACCGACATCGATGTCCCATTTGGTATTGTGCTGCATGCTGGGCCACTGAAGCTTTGCGACCTGCCATTTGAATTGAGCTTCAAACTGTTCCGACCAACGTTCTACCCATTTATCCTGAGTCGTTATCGGTGTCCCATCCTTATAGGTGGCGCTATCACCAATCCTTGTTTTCTTTTTCGGGGTATCCTTAATAAGCCTAGATTCTCTCCATGCTGTACATAATGCCAAGCACTTCTCCATTCGTATTGCATTCGCCGCCCACCACTGCTCACGATCGTTGTGGCGAAGACTCTTGGTCAATTTACGTTTTATTTACTTTTGCTCTTCATTATGATCAGAGCCAGCTGGTAGGAGTCTTCTCGTGTCAGTTGGTTCGGATGATTTTGTGGGAATCCATTGATTCTTGATAACCTTAAGATATAGTTTACCAACTCTCGTTACCGCTGTTTCTACGCCAGGTTTTCTCAGGATGAGCATTGCTGTCATGTTCACATAAATGCTTAGCTAACTCCTCCCTATATGCGTATTTGGCGTTCTCATCTTCCAAACGACCATATAGAGGTTTTACTATCCACTGTTTCCTGCTACCAGTAAGGCGGAGACATACATGAATCCGTCCTAACGCGTGATCGGAGTGCGAACACACTTCAGAAAGAGACAGTGTCTCTCCTTATGATTTAAGTTCGTAATAGCCTGAAGTGACTGATTACCAGAACGAATTGCAACACATGATCCTCGTCAGTTCGCTGGCATGGGATTACGTAGATACCTTTGAGATGCCTTTCCCAGTCTCAGCTTTCCTACCTGAGCTTTGAATTCGCTTCCTGTTATGACTATATCTGAGTGTTTAGCTTTCCGTAGCGAGTGACAGCTTTTGGTAGAGTTCGTCCTTTGCATCATGCGATCTGCAGTCGTTTGGTGCGTAGACGGAGCTTATTCATAGACACCGACTAGCCTCATAACCCTTTCGAGTTTTTACAGATCTATTCAGTTGAATAACCCATAGACAGCGATTAACTACTACCCAGTTCACTCTCCACTCGAAAATATAATGCTTTGCTTACACCAGTGAGTGCACAAGAGCTAGCCATTAAATTTTCGGATACTCGTAAGGTGAATTTTGAAGATTTACTACATTTGTCGGGTGAGGTTAAGTGAATAGCCACATTCGGGTCCTGTATACGTATCTTAAAGACACAGCATACATCTATGGCTCAAGATTCCATAGTTCTAGCTAGAGACTTGCTGCCCGATTTAAAATTGTGTTCTAGCATTGGAAGTTTCAATGTGAAACCGATAGCGTGGCTTTAGGAGACTAAGAATGGCGTTTTGCTGGTTTGGGTCTTTGGCTATGCTCACAAAGTGAGAGGTTGAGTGAAGTGTAAGGGGCATCATATAGGTATCAGAGAGTGAAGGCAAGTGATGAGACAAATATAAGGAGTGTAAGTTATTGTCGATTGGGTTCCGTATACCATTGAAAGCGTGGTAGCAGTTGGTACCTCTCGGCTACTGACGCCGTAAATGTTTTTTCTACAGGATGTCTGGAAGAGAAAAAGGAAAAATATCTGTGTGACTACAAAGTCCATGTGGTATCTGCTTGAGGCCTGTCACACAGCCTTTTGAGGATTGTTAGTTTGAGATTTAGTTGTTGTGATGTCGAATGAGAAAAACCCATACCGCCATCACCAGAATATTGCTGTATAGGGAATAGTGTGCTACTTTCAGAGCCGACATTCTTTACCATACCCCTTCCCGTTTGGAAGGCAGCAGTAACATGGTCATCCTCAGGAAACACTACTGCTTTCACACCCCAGTTAGCCAGCAGTGCGACGTCCCCTCCTACCCTTACCATAGCGTATCGGTCTACACTATAATGGTAGCAGTTTTTTTGTCTTACTACTATCCAGTAGACCTTTCTAGTGTAGTGGGATATCAAGAAGCTATCGTTCCAACCAGTGTAGCTCGTTGAGTCATTGTGATATCCAAGCCCGACCATCACGTCAAAGCAGCAGGTATTGGTTGGGATAATGTCGATTTAATGGCTGTCACCAGTCACATTGTAACTATCCTTTATCACGGATATTTTATTTCACTGGCACTGAAATCTTGAAAAGTAAAGTCATTAATTAAATTGGCGTGATTTTTAGTTGATGTTAAGCAGTATGCCAACCTATGAACCACATTAATTGCATATCTCAACCTTTATCAAATGGAGCTGTGTAACAAGTCAATTACCTGATGTAGTGAACCTCATTTTCAACACACCAATCAATATCAAGTTAGAAGAACAAAGAAAGAATAACATCTTGGATATGAAGGTGCAAACGATATTTGTGTATTGTTAGCTAGTTTATATTCCATATCGCATTTTTTTTTTAGCATTGAACTTGAGATCAGAGACATGTACATTGGAATCAGCTTATCAGGATTTATGTATAGTCGCTTTCTGATGTACTGGTAAACAAGATACATGCATGTAGGAGTAATGAAACTCCATGTCGTTTTTTCAGTCACTGCCATAGCTATAAACATTGCTAATAAGTTGTTTGTTTCAAAGAAGACTAAATGAAGTATATTTTCTTATATTATCGATTGTACTGTACTGTCATTCTCCTATATATATTCTCTGTCTTACATATGTAGTTTATAAGAACACTGAAGGATTTTTGAACTATTACCAAACGATAGACATTTCAATGATGCAATAAGTATAACTGTGTATTAATCTAGAAAGTCTATTTTAAACTTTTAAGTCATGTGTTCAAATTCTGCTGTATCTGTTAAAGCTTTGGTGATCAAACGATTCTGTCAACTGTTATACAACAAGTACACAAATCTACTACATGATTTCTAATTTATATTAAACATGTTAATTGTAATGAATAAATACTTATAATGAATTTGTTAATTATTTTTCTTTTAATATTTATTTAGGTAAACGATTTCGATGTCATAAATGCGGAAAAATATTTGAATTTTATGGTTATTTAAGAAAGCATTTATTATTCTTACATAAGAGTAAGTAAATTTGTTATTTACAGTATACATAATGAATACCTCAATGTATATAATTCATTATAGTCTTAGTTTATTATGTTCAACTGGATATTTATTTTGTATAACAAAAATCTATGTTGATAGAATTACACAATGATATAGAAATGAACAATGCTGTTTTCAGTTTAACTTTCATCAAGGTCACTTTTGTATGAATCTATCAATTCAGCTGCTTCTATAGAGAAAGCTGTACTGGGCGTACCATTAGGTAGCTAGGAAAGAGATAAATAAAGTCAGCATGAAGTTCAATTCTTATTATAGGAGTAAAACTTGTATACTGTTGTACAATGTTAATCCATTTTTATTGATTTATTAAACTGATCACACAATGGAACAATATTGTTTACTGGATTACGTTTCGGACATCATTTATTGTCCATAGTCATATCAAGATAACTACACAACTTTGAGATATCCTCTATGTAGTCCTAATTTCCTCGCCTCTTTGTGAGATGGGTAGTAAGATTTTCCATATATCCGGAACAGGTGCTGAGTCATTCCTGTTGCATGTATAACGTGTTGATTTGATAAACAAAGATTCAGTTGTCAATCTCTCTCTCTCTCTACCCTACTATGTTAGTTTTAAGGATTTTCACCCTGTCCTATCCTATTGTGCGGTTGAACTTCTTTCTAAATTCCTACCAATTTTGACCTAACTAGGCTTTTTTTGCTCGGATAGCTTACTTTGACTTATGTATTTGATCGCGCAATCGTTGCAAGAGATTTAGTAAACTAAGTTATTCTGCTTAATTGGATCAATAGGATCTTTTAACCTATATAGCAGCCTTATTGAGACTAGGATGAGATAGGGTGAAAATCCTTAAAACTAACAGCACGATGGAGGGAGAGATTGGTAACGGAATCTTTATCCATCGAATCAACACCTAACACATGCAACAAGAATGACTCAACACGTGTCCCGGACTTATGGAAAATCTTAGTACCTATATCACAAAAAGGATAAGGAATTTAGGACTATATAAAGAATATCTCAAATTTGTGTAGTTATCTTGATATGACTATGGACAATAAGTTGTAAATTAGAACAAGACATATAATGAGAATTTTTAAAAGGATAAATTGTGTCCGATACGTAATCTAGCAAAGAATACTGTTCCACTGTGTCATAAATCTAATAAGTCAATAAAAATGGAGATTCAATTCTATCACATTCGGTTGATAGCGGTCATATAGCAGATGACACCAAAGGGTTCAAAATCATCTATCGCTTTCCCCAAATTCTTTTGAATCAGTTTCGCACTCGTACATTATATATATATATATATATATATATATATATATATATATATATATATATATATATATATATATATATATATATATATATATATATAGCTGGGGCTATAGAAATTAGAGGAGACAAAATTAGTGTATAGAAAAGTTTGTACAGCCTTTATCTCTTCCTTGGCCAGAGGAAAACTTAATAAATGACTTCAAAGATAAATTGAATGTTTCATCCCCTCCCTTTTCTTTACCGATTTCATACACACATGCTTATTTGCTTAGACTTTGATTATCTACACTCTTCTTTCTTTAGTATTACGTGACTGTTATTTTTCTCTGGGTTTCGACCTATACTAATTGTCTGAATGTCTACATTACCGTGATGTTCCCATTATTCTTATCATCACTGAGACAATTATTATTAGGAATATTATATATTATATATATATATATATATATATATATATATATATATATAATTATCTGTGTATTTACTATTTTAAAAATTCCCATCATATAAATTAGAACAAGACATACAAGCGAACAATATTGTTCTCAATTAGACCCTCTTCAGACTTTACAAATAGCTTAATATATATAAAATCAAACCAACCATGTAGATTTGTCGGTTGATGTGATAAATGTTTAATATGACGATGGAGATAATAATACAAATAATAATAATGAAATTGATAAAAGTGATAACGTTGACTAAAGCACATGCTATATAGATGATGATGATGTTGAGAACCAAGAAAGCAGCATGAAAATATAGACACTCTGATAGTCAAAATGGGTCAAAAGCTTGTGAAAATAAAAGTTACGTAGTGGTGAAAGGTGAGGTAAGTGGATAAACAAAGCCTAGACAAATACACAGTAAGTATACGAAAGGGGTGAAGAATAAGAAAAGGAGTAGGAAATAATAATAACTGAATGATAAAATTATTGACTAAGTATTCCCTGGCCAAGGGAGAGATAAGGGATGTACAAACTTCTTCTGGATACAAAGGCTAGGATTATTAGCTCGAATTCCCACAGCTTCTATGTGAAAAAGACAAGTTTGAATACCTTTTGAAAGATGAGATAGTATGCGGTGTATAATCGTGAAAGTAATGATCTTATCTACTGAGCCACCACTATCAACGAGGTGCGATAAAACTGAGCTTCTGATGGATTTTATCTGTCCCTTTCCCAACCATGAAGGTAGATGCTCGGCAACACGTCTGTTGTCTAGTAGTACGCCCTATATCATCACTTTTGTCAATTTCATTATTATTTGTATTATTATCTCCATCGTTATATTAAACATCTATCATTATATATATATATATATATATATATATATATATATATATATATATATATAAAGCTATTCATATTAAAGTAAAGCCTGAAGAGGATCTATTGAGAACAATATTGTTCGCTTATATGTCTCGTTCTTATTTACTATTTGCCTGCTTCATTTTCTTGTTAAACCAGACTAAAGAATTCATCATGTTTGGTTTAATATTTTATATAAGAGAACATTTATGTATATTGGAGTAAGACCTGATAAAAGCTAATTGAAATCAATATTGTTCGCGTAGATATCTCCTTCTAAAATTCCATATCATTATATTAGAGTCATCTATATACCTATTGAGGATTGAGTGAACTCTCTGTCCTATTGTATGCTATAAAAAACGGCTATCAAAGGTAAGAGATGCATAGACGCTTCATGAATTCGCCATTATTATATTCATCATATCGGTTATGTGGTTTGAAAAATGCTTTGTGTTGGTCAAGTAAAGAGGTTAGTTGTAAAGTTTCGGATAAAAGAGGTTCGCGTTGGAAAAATCCCAAAGATTATGACACCAAGATGCAGTGCCGATTCCTAAAATTATTATTTCGAGTATCTGAGATAGCCGTGTTTCGGCATACTAGTATTTATATTCGATGGTAGAGTACCAGACCGGTAACCACCCAATGGTCGCTGGTTCGAATCCGACCCCGGTCCAAATTTTTACTTCACCTTCAATCATCACCCAGTATAAATTCCTTTATCATAAAGGATTTTGATTAAAGTAAAATAAAATCATGATTATAACTCACTGTCAAAAGATTATCTCTCATGTCCACAAACATATCAACTGTGTTCCTATAATGAAAGTTTTTTATTTACATATGACTGTATAGTCTTTGGATATGAAATATTAAAAGTGATTTCTTTGACTAAAGCATTTGTTCTATGACTTGATAGGTATACTGAATGTGCGCAACAGACAGTCAATCGAAGAATATAATCGAGGTATATAGATGATATCTTTTTGCTAACCAAAAGAACCAAGTTTGGGAAAACTTTCCGAATACCTAAATATCCATTTCACCTGTATAGAATTCACTTATGAATTAGACGTAGCGTTTGTTTGAAACTCTAGCTTTCCTAAACTGTGAGGGTATACGAAACAGTGGTGTTTCTTTCAATACCATTGTTTACATTATAGAAACACATTCAAACAACTCCCCGGACATTGACTTAGTCCAACCAATCGAAAGTAAGAGAAATCTTCCTTAAAAAAGCTATTGGTGAAGTCTCAAAAGGATACCAAGTAAACAGAAATCTCGTCAATCAGATAGATAAATAACTCTGAAATAACAATCTGGAGAAGTTATTAGAAAGAATGGAAAAGAGTTTATCCTCAGAAAATAAACAGCCAATTGTAAAGACTAGGCTGGGTACTGTAGAACTTATCTCCCGGGTACATAAAGGGAAATAAGACGGATCCTAAACAGTTATGATATCAGGGTATTCTTTAGTTTGGCAAACACTCTTCATTAACACCTATCCAAATTTAGTGTCTATAGCTGATTAGTTTCAGGAGATCACCTGATGGGTCACGAGTTCGAGCCCCGCCCCACCTACCGAGGTTTGGGCAGCCGGATAGTGTCATTAGCCCTCACACAACAGGTGTGGCTCATTGCCTACTGCACGAATGTAAACGTGGTTGCTAAGTGCATTCCGATTCAAGTTTCTGACTTCGATCCGAATTAAAGGATTCAATTTTCCATCTCCAGTAGCAGAACTTCGTCCGTAAGGTAAACTGTAGTGAATATGACACTATATACACTGAAACAACCACTACAGATTCCGATACACCTGAATGAACGTGGTTGAATTCGTAAACCGTAACTAAAAGGTTCATTTTAATTAAATAACCCTTTAAAAACGAGGCTAGTTACCGACTGTATATTCAAGTCATAAAATATCTTTTGAAATCGTGAAAGTTGTGAAATGAATTTTCATTTTCGTAAAGATAAAGGTATTACAGACTCTTTGTGTATTTAATCATACTCTTCTGCAATCACGGGACAGATTACATTCCCTTTAAATATGGTAACTAACCATTAGTGAATCGCATAAAAAATTTCAGGTAATATAAAAGCAAACAACCTCACCATACCACACCATTTGGACCAATCACATATTTGGCCACTCAAAAATCGTAATTTACCCTTACTGCTTTTCTTCTCCTGATCACTTATCATTCCATTGTGTATTTCGCAGTTAGACGAAAATTCCCATCTACCTTTTTATACCACCGTATTTTTGACCGAATGACTCTGAAAGGCAACTCTGACAGCTACTGAAATAACCAATCATGATTATCGATTTCGTCTAGAAAGGTCTTTTTTTAGATAGAACAAATAAACCTGATTAACCATTCCAATAGTTGTCAAGGTGGTCTTTAAAGTTATTTCTTTCACCTCTTTATTTAATTGCTCACCGAAATCATATTGATCATCTACACTTAAATATATTAATGTAAAAGCGTAGTATCGAATCCCTAGACTCTTGAATTGTGATTCGGAATAATACAGAAGTGAAGTCCACCTAATACAATGAAGCATGTCAACTGGGTGGTTAAGTTTTTCCAAACAATTCATCGTTGGTGTACATATTTTAACACTAGTGTGATGTTATACGCTTATATAATAACCTTCAAATTTCACCTTTGATGGTTACTTGATAGAAAAGATGGTAAAGCAACAGGTTTATTTCAAGATTAAGATGTCTATAAAGTACAACGTCATATATAATTAGCCTTGGTTTTTTGCATAACTTTCTAGAAGGATATATTCCTTTGATTTTATCCCTTCAATAAATCTGGTATGATCATTTATCTTTATCCGAAAATTCAGAATATTTTGAATGATCATAATGGTTGCTGTTCAAGTGTGGAATAAGTTTAACAGAATCTTAATAAGTAACCATAAATCATGAAAGCCCTTTTTCAACCAATCGCTTTATTTCGAAGTTTCGGGGAAAAAAAACATATGAATCAACGTGTAAGTATCAGGTTGGTTGAAGAGACATAAAATCAATAGGATTTAAATCTATCAGGCCTGGAAATATCCAAGACCTTGTAATTTGTATATATTGTGAACGTTGCTGCCTTTTTCCACTATTGGGGAACTAAGTAACCCAGCAGGGAGTCGGATCTGAAGGTATTTGTACAAGCGCCCTCATATATGGTAGTCTGCACACGTATATAACTCAGGCTATATCAAGTCACAATAAAGACATAAAAATTGGCGACTGAAGTATATAACAGTCTCCACGGGTTCGGGGCTGGTTTGACGAGTCTGGACATTGGTATAACACACAGAATAAACTATTATTTGTGGATGTGAAACTGTATTTTATGTACCTTAACACTGGGGATTCAACGGTATAGTAAACTTGGTTGAGTTTTATGTGAGATGGTGAAAACGGAAAGTGATATGGTTGGAAATCAATTCCAGTAGTGCAGATTTCTTTGAAAACTTATTTCCACTGTTGACTTTCATGACCATCCTAACAACTGCAATAACCAGTCAGGTTTCCGTATTTCAGCTGGGAAGGGAGTTTTTCATAAAATAAAGGAATGTGATTGGTTATCTCATCAGTGGCCAGGGTGGCATTTAAAGTTGATTTATTTCAACGTTAACTGCGATCTACATCTCGTTATTCGCTTTATGATTGCTTCGCTTTCTACTATGGCCATCATAAGTCTATTGATATCCTTGTTATTATTTCTTTATCCCCCCTATATTTAGTTTCCACTTCAATGTGGTAATGTATAGTGCGACAACATGAATCGTCACACAGTAACCCCATATCGTATGTTATAAATCAGAGGGGCTGGTGACGGAAACAGTAAAAATCACCTGCTATCTTGATTACATCTAAATGTTTAGCTTCCTTTAGCGAAATCACCAGCTTCTCATAGAATTCATCCCTTTCATCATCCGAGGTACGGCTGTTGGCTAGTCTCGTGATTCTACCCAATCCTTACAGATTCATTCATTCAGTTGAACACCACATAGACGGCTGTTTTCTGGAGTCGGATAGAGGAGCGCACTTTCTGCTTTACAACTCAATGCTATGCCTACATCAGGTAGTCTACAAGAGCTAGCCACTAGGTCTCCGGATACTCACAAGGTGGATTTTTAAGATTCCTCGCTTTGGTTAGGTGAGATGAATTTAATAACCACACTCGGATGCTGTATACGTGTCTCCGAGACAGCATACACCGATGGCTAGAGAGTCCAGAGTTTTGGCGAAGGCTGCTTGCTGTCCGATTTGGCAGAGATTTCCGACGTTGGAAACTCCTACATGAAATCGATAGTCGGGTCTTAGGACACTAGGAATGTGGTTTCGATGGCTTTGATCGTTGACAGTGGTTGTAGAATGAGAGGTCGTGGAAGTTGTAAGGGGCTTGATATTAGTATGAGGCAGGATATGAAGACGAAGGAGGGCGAATAGTTGAGGAGAAAATGTTGTTTAATTGGATTTCGTGTACTGCTGGGGGCATTGAGGTGGTTGACACTTTTCGGGTTCCCGCACCATGGGAATCTAGTTCTTCTTTAGTTGCAGACACATAACTATGTAAATGGCTGAGCGAAGGACCTTGAGACCTCATGGCGAGCACGTTACCAACCATGCACTAGGTTTGAATCCAGTGGCCTGAATTTTTCTTCTGTTAATTTGCGATATAGCCCAACCATCATCCAATGCCATCGATGAGTATTTGTTTACTAGAACTGTGGCCCACTGGTCGTTGTTATCATATCTTTATGTCCTCCTATATTTAGTATCCACTTCAGTGTGGTAATATGTAATGCGACAACATGAATCGTCACACAGTATCCCCATATCGTATGTTATTAATCAACGGGGCTGGTAATAAAAGCAGTCGTTTTTGTTTATAAAAATTACTATTGAGACATTTTAAAAACCAGTTTAAATACTTCCTTGGAATTTTTAGCTCATCATCAATGACTGTAAACTAACTTGTGTTTCGGTTTTAACAGTTTATTTTATATCAAAGTTTCAGTATAGTGGTGATGATTACGTGAACAGTAATTATGAAGTTGGAACTATTCATAAATTTTGTACATAATGGAATAAATTTAAGCACTAGGATAAAGTGTATTACCATATTCAGTTAGTTCGTTTGCAATAGTATATAGTGATATAATGTTACTTACTAGATGATGTAAGTTTCCAGTACAACTCTTTATTGCTCTCATAATCATATCAAGGTAATCAAACAATCTTCTGGTTTAGTTTTTCATAGTTCGATTGCGTTTCATTCTTTAACTAATCTAGTATGAAATTGCATTCTATCACAATGTCTAAATTTTATGCTTACATGTGATATTTACTATTGAGATGAGAATAGATAGTATAGATGCATATGCTGCATTATTTTGAGTCTTAGACCATCTTTTTCTAATATTCTTGTAAACAAAATAACTAGGAGATCGATTCATGTCAAATTGACAGTGTTAAACGGTTTATACACTAATACCGTTTACGTCTAACCAGTTGGTAGGGAATTTCTTCCAACATAATCCTTTCCTTTACAGGGAACATTACACTTTTTTTGGATTGATAACACCTGCTATCTTGAAGGTACAAAAAGGTACCCGATTAAATAATCTTTTATATGGTAACTGGTTACTACAAGAAGCTTGTTATACGAAAAAGACAATATTTTTTGTAGTCTAGACATCTTTGATTGCTTTGCTAAATTTAATTCCTCATTTCCCGCCATTTTTTTTCTTCTCAGATCAATATAGCTTACAATTATCGTAATCCGAACCATACTTTCTTCCAAACTGTTCATTGTTTGCTTGTCGATGGGAAATCTTATTGTTTGTACATATTAATTGGTGATTTATTATAATAATACTAGTAGTAATCCCTACTGGTGTATATCTTATGTTGAAACAATGAACAATGAAAGCATAAAAATAACTTTCATCTTAGATATGTTTCCTTAGAAAGAAATGTGTATATTGTTATTTATCTATGCACATAATGCCAACTAACTGAAAGTATTGCATTTATTTTAAACTTTCCCCTTTCTTTTGTCTTTTTATTCATTTTTATATCATCACCATAAAAATAATAAATGATAATGTATAAGATTGATGTGAAATATTACTTCATACAAGATATAAACAATTCTAATTATTATCCTTCCTAATATTATTCCATTATTGTAGTACAACTCCATTATTTGTTTTGTGAAGATTATCCAATGCATTGCAATAAAATGTTTTACATGTATGGAATTTTCTAATGATATATACGTTTCGTTTAGCCTATCACGAAAAATTGAAATCTTTATCATTGAGTTATGATAAGTATTATATACTTCCTCGATATTCTATTCAAAGTCAGACACTGCTACAACACTTCACGGTTGACTGAGTCAAATACTGCCTTCAGGTTAAACAAAATATGGAAAGTGTTGACGGTCGGCCGGTAGATATGTCTATATTCCAGAATCTGATCTATTGGGGAGTGGAAATATGATCGATGTACCCTTGTTCAGCTCAATGTGAAACCTGTGTGATTTTTTCGAATTCACTCTTCTTGAGCTCCACCCAGACGTCAGATAAATATGGAGCCTAGGATCTTGGACACAACATTAGTCAAACTAATTCTGCTATGGTTGTCACAAGAAAACTTATCTTCCTTCCTATAAACTAGGATTATCCGTGAAGCATACGAGCCTGATGGCACCACCTCTGATTCCAATACACTACCTGGTAACTGTACCACTTTATTTAGTAGTTTTTACCTTCATCATCGGAAACTGTTAGGTCCTGCTGATTTCCATCATTTCAGACTCCATACAGCTTTCTCAACTTCTAAAAGGGTCGGAGGACCAACATCTACGTCTCATTGAGGTTCAGGCTGAATGCTGTGGAACTGGAGGGCTGCTGTGGGCCAGTTAAACTGTGCTTCAAAATATTCTAACCATCTGTCGTGGTAGGTTATCAGCGTTCCATCCTTCCCGGCGATGGTTCCACTCACCATCGTCTTCTTTTCCGTATCCTGATAACCCCAACCCTGATGTCTTATCCACTTCTCTCGCTTTTGCCACCCACCACTGCTCGCAGTCGACGCTAAGACTCTTGATCAATTTATGTTGGAGTTGCTTTCACTCTTCATCGTGTTCAGAGCCAGCTGGAGTCAGTTTTCTGGTACCGATCAGTTCAGATAACGTTGCGGAGATCCAATGACCTTTGTTAACCTTCGGGTGTATGCTAAAAATTGTCTTTACCTCTGTTTCTACAGCAGACTTAACATTTCATGAGGTTTCCTCAGCATGAGCGTGGCTGTCATGTTCGCATAAACGCTTATCTAACTCTTCCCTAAATACGTGTTTGGCGTCCTCGTCTTCTAGTCGACCATAGACAGGCTTCACTGCCGCATGTTTCCTACGACCAGTAAGGTGCTGATATACATTATGACGTAATCGGAGTCCAAACTGGCACTCCAGAAAAGCAGTAATCGTCCAGCGATGGCTCCTACCAATGAGATCCACCTGTTTTCATCGTTGGTTTGAAGTCGACGGAGGGGATGTGATGCAATGTCTCTTCTTATGCCTAAAGTTAATGCTGACCAGAAGCAAGTGGTTGTCAAAACAAAATCGCATCAGACGATCACCGCTGCCGGTTCGTTGGCATGGAATTCCATAAAATATCTGGCAGGTACCTTTCCAATTGGCTCGGCTTCCCTACTTGAGCGTTGAGATCATCTGCTATTTTGATTACATCTAAATGTTTAGCTTCCTTTAGTGAAATCACCAGCTTCTCATAGAATTCATCCCTTTCATCATCCGAGGTACAGTCGTTGGGTGCATAGGCAAAGATTACGAATAGGCATCAACTAGTCTCGCGATGAATGAATGAACAAGTGGTTAAAGGTTACCACTGGTAATACTTGTCCACCAGCCGAAGTTGTTTCGTGTAAAGGATTGTGTGATAAGCGTTTATCTAAAATCATCTTCGATCGTTTTTACAAATGCACATGTTGATGTTAGGGTGTACACAGTTTAGGAACGTTTCAGACTCAGACCCAGAACTTCGCAACTGCAGTTGCTCAACAAATTATCGATTGGGGTGACAAAGCAGACGCATTAACTTCCAATAAGAAAATCCCACTTCACTTCGTTTATTGGAATCGATTGTAGTCAAGTGATTTCAACCCGATCCCTAATCACAAAAGAATTCTGTGGTTACCCTAATCTAATCCACTTCCAATACAATCCTCGTTTCTTTCTTCACCTTCACATCTATCAAGTGAGCACTCAACCATCACATTTCATATCTACCAACAATTTTCATATTGATACAAAATGATGATGTTTGAAGGTGAAATGAAAACTCGGGCCGCAGTAAGATTCGAACCACCGGGTTATCGCCCTAGTTTTCTACTAACTGACCTGCAGGACCCCACTGCTGACCATGTTTTTATTTCGCTTCAATCAGCAAGGGTTACGCCTGAGTGACGTGATAATCATATTTAAGCACTTCCTCTCTCTAAATCAAGCAGATTTCGTTTGGGATGGGAAGTCCTGACTGGGCAGCCAGTTTAAGCACGACTAAGTGATAGTAACGTGTCACTTATTTACGTGGCCGTCCGGTATATCCTTTCTGATTAAAGTGAAATGAAGATGCAGTCGGGTCGCCTAGCTCAGCTGGTAGAGCACTGGGTCGGGAACCTGGTGGTCTCTGGTTCGAAACCTACTGTGGCCGAAATTTCTATTTCGCCTTCAATCATCATCCAGCATCAGTATATTATTATGTTATATTCATCCCGTTTTATTGTACACCACTTGCTAAAAAGATTCCCAATTCGTCTTCTCAATTGCTCATCACTATCGACGAAATAATAAGACGCGGTTTTTCTGAACCGTGCATTGCATTTGCGCAGCACATTTCCAACAGTCTGATCACACCCATACTGGTCTCAAATATTTATGTGATTGCTCCTGGTTTGGTAAAAATGAGGAAGTGAAGGGGTAACGTAGACAAAGTTGGGGCCGCTGTTTATGAAACGAGTTAAAAGAGGGAGAAAAGGGGGAAAACTAGACCATTAAGGGAAACGATGCAAAATCGAGGGAAAAAAGTAGACAAGTAAACATATAGGTTGAATGAGGAAAGCGACGTCAGGGGGAGAGACAATCGGGGGGAAAAGGCGTAAAAGGGGGAAATCAATTGCTTTTCCCCGCGAATGTCGCTTTATTTTCGCATTGGGTTTCCCCCTTATTTCCCACTTTCTAGCCCTTTATTCGATTTATTTTCCCCTTCTTGGTCTGTATAGGATAAAAGGTGAGAAGGTCAAATATGAAGGCTAGATAGGTCAGAATAAAAATGAAAATCAATTAAAGCAAAATTATTAACACATTGACCTTCATTTCGTTTATAGTGTGCAGTAAGATTGCCAATATCTCCGTAAGAGGCCATAGATCAAAACCAACCGTTTTCCTTAGAAGTTTAGAGAAAAGTCAAGTGAACTAACGTGTAAATATCAGATTGGTTGGAACGATAAAAGTCAATAGGACATGCCATTTTCGAAAGGCCTAGACATAATCACGGTCATTATGAGTGTAGATAAACCGTTGTATGCTGTTTACATTTGGACGTTGTAGTGTACCTTATGTTGTCTCATCACCAAGGAACTGAGTGACAATCAATGATTTAATCTGAAGGTTATTGTTCAAGTGTCCCCACTCATGAGGTTCTAAAGATAAATTCACCGTATGTAAATGTGATAACAATTTTTTTGTGCACTCATCATGCTTTCCAGTAGCTACAGCCATGATGAGTTTGAATATAGAGCTCCAACAACTTTGTAAATGGGTTTAAACATTTATTTTCTGGGCTATCTTTATGACTTGTTTAGCAGTTTAGGTGCTGGGATGTTTATTACCAGGAGTGATGGAGTCAACTGATTCAATCCATCTTCCCGACCTCATTTGAAAAGATGAACGAATCATTCATATCCATTCAAACTGATAAATACAACGGGATTTGACATCATCATTCCCATAAACTGTAGGTTCAGAAGTAATTATTGACAGTGTTCTCAACTACCCTGACCTTAGCCGCACAGTATGTCTTTCTAATGACAGCAATAAATCTCTGTTTAAGCACCCACCGAAGACGGTTGCTATTGCATAGAAGTTTAATAAGTAGTTAATATAGGAGTAAAACTTGTGCACTATGTAGAGTGTGATTCCATTTTAGTTGGTTTATTAGATGTATCACACAGTGGAACAGTATGGTTAACTGAACTACGTTTCGGACATAATTTATGGTGTCATAGTCATATCAAGATAAGTACACAACTTTGAGACATCCTTTACGTAGTCCTAATTTCCTCGTCTCTTTGTGAGATGGGTAGTAAAATTTTCCATATATCCAGAACATGTGCTGAGTCATTCCTGTTGCATGTATAATGTGTTGATTTGATAAACAAAGATTCAGTTACCAATCTCTCTCTCTACCCTACTATGTTAGTTTTAAGGATTTTCACCCTGTCCAATCTTAATGTGTAGTTTTATGTAATCGTTTACATATCAGCATGACTGAGCTTTTTTCTAAATTTCCTACCTTACTAAGATCTATCAATTTTACTTAATTGTATCAACAGGATCTGATAACCTACAAAGCTTATTTCTAAGTGAGTTTGTAGGTTTAAATGCCACTGTAATCCCAGTGGCAATAGTGTGAAGAGAGAATTCAAAAAAGTCTGAGGAAATGCTCTGATCTACAACACGGTCAACATACCTTAGTGTAAGAAAAAACAAAGACTGAGACGCAGAAAGGAATGTTCATATAGACAGTTTGTACAGTACTAATGAAATACTGTACACTTCCCATTAAAATAGTCATTTGCACAATGTGTTTCAATTCCTCTTCTGTTTCCATCTCAACTTGCTCTTAATACGCCCACATCGTCTCTTGCATTTCTCTTGGCAGAATATTAATCCAACGCTGGTAATTGCCCATGATTTCTGCCGCCTTCTCAATACATACTACTTACATTCATTCTCATCAGTAGCACCCACTACTTTAGTAAACTATGATTCGGTAAATTCACATCTTGACTTCATGAACAACACACACACACGCGAGAGAGAGAGAGATGGTCTGATAGTTCACAGCCAAGTGTAAAAATCATGGGTGTATTTCAATTGCGGTCAACCGTAACTGAGAATTATTTTATTCTTGAGAATTTGGCCGACTTTAATTTTATCTGCTAACAATGCAAAGCACACCATCTATTTTTAATGCATTAATTCTATTCGTATGTTTAACAGACTGTTTAACGATAAAGTTCATAGATTTATAATTGCATAAACTTAGGGATGGTGTTGTCAACGATAATGGTTCATTCAGCTGGAAGTATAAAATACTAGAATAATGATGAAAACGGTGATTCACTGAAATAAAGCAGAATATCACTAAATCCTAGCAAAAACCTAGCACATAAAAAAGACATATGCACGCTGTAAACTTGTCAAGGTAACCTTGTTCAAAATAAGCCTGAGAATACAAAAGACAAGACACCTTACACTGTTTGGTCACTAGAGAACAACCTATTTCATGTTGTCTATCCTACGTGCTGACCGAGGTCTAACGATCATTTCGCAATGTGCCCACCAAGCTGCGAGGCTCACCATCACGGTACACTCTGATGGTTGTTAGTTGGTTGCAGGCAGCCATCGGCACGGAGTATTTACAACCTCAATGAAACTGATGTCTCGCCTGAGATTTGAATTTGTGTTCGCCAGTGTTGCAGTCAGCGGTATTTCCACTGAGCTACTCAGGAAACCATTGAAATCCTGTAGAACTGGATTAGATACATTGATTGATCACTGGAGAGCAACCAATTTCATGTTGTCTACTACTGAGTGTCAATCGATTTCTATCAATCATGACACATTTTTATCCGACGTATTCAACCTATCAAGGAAATTTTTAAAGAAGTTGAATCTTGAAAGCTTACAGTTCACCTTAACCTTGACAAATATAAAAATTAAAGACGAAAAATCACAAAATGTTAAAAAAAGTAAGAAAGGCTGAATAATTCTAGTGTTTAGCCATGATTTAAGTAGTACTGTACAAACCACACACTCCCACATACACCTGCTTATTACCATAATAATAATAAACTCAACGTCTACTTCGTTTCATGTAGACCTCAGAATACATGATTACTTCTGACAAGAATCACGATCAGTATTAAATGAATTCACGATGTTACGATGGACAGAACGGAAGGGGAAGGCAATTACAGTCACGAAATCTAATACTTACTCCTTGAGTTTTCTGACAGCCTAAAAGACAACAAAAATAACTCATGGGTTCGAACATCGCTAAACCTTCCATGGTTTGTGTGGCTAGGTAGTAAGTGTCATTAGCTCTCATACAATAGGTGTGGCTCATTACCTACTGAACGAATGTTCATAAGGTTGCTGAGAGAATATCTCTCTCTATTAGCACGCTATTTTCTAGAATGTTGATTATCCAGTATGCAAATTATCTTTAGGCCCATGTATACAGTGAGTAAAGTCAACAGTTATTCCCATTAGATCGGTATATATTCATTCGCATTCATTCTTATTGTCAATATGCCACACTTTGTTGCATATTCTGTCCTACGGTTGGAATTAGTAGTCAAAAGTTGGACGCAATGTACTAAGTATATATATATATATATATATATATATATATATATATATATATATATATATATATATATATATATATATTCCATAAATGCACAAACAGGACAATCAAAATCAGTCGGAAGTATTTAGTATACCCTCAATATTAATTTGAGTTGAACAGACAACATAAAAGGCATGTCGATGTTGTTGTATTGAATAGCAACCAGAAAAAATAGGCATCAGTTCACACTGGAATGAATTAATTACATTTTAACAGCATTAATCAGTCAACAAACTAAATAAGTGTATAAAGGATTTTTTTAAAAAGGCATTTGTGATTGCCATCGCATCATTTAGTAAATAGCTACAGAATTATTATTACTATTATTATTATTATTATTATTATTAGCGTCACCATTATCAGAGCTTGTTCACTGTTCCCATTCTTATCACTATTTCTGTTCAATATGTGTTTTAATTAGGTCAGCTAAAATCATTGAGTCTTTAGCAAAACGCCGAATACCATCAGTCAATTTATCACTGGCCATTTCATCTTCATTCATTTGCCAACGAAACTCTTCCTCTGTAAGTGGATGTTCAGGGCTATAACAATCATTGGATGACTTAGCTAATCATAAAAAGTGAATAAATAGAAAAGAATAGTTAATCATCTACTAAATCTCAATAAATATTATACGATTCAAATAAGATGGTTCACTGACTTGTAGGATTAAACAGTAAACCAAATGATCAGACTCTTGTAAATCTTATGATTATATACAAGGACTACTTTTGTCTCCTTTTCACTTTTGTTTTATACCACTTTCAAACAAGTGATATTTAAAAGAATTTCTTTTTATTGTCTCTCCCCTAGTTAACTTTGATCTTGATGTGTTAATTTGGAGAGTAGGTCATGTAAAAAAAGACCACATACTGATGATGGATATGGTGGGGAATATTTGTAGTTCAGGTGTACTGTGTTCTCTGAGCTGGGTTGTCTAGAAATAATAAACAACAGAAAGGTCATAGGTCAAGCAGAAGAACAACCAACAGGAAAATCTATGCAGCTAATGACACAACAATCAAAGGAAACAACCAATTACAAACCAGTTCATAAGAGCAAACTATTAAATAGCTCGCGGAGAAATATTGACATCTCACAGCTCATACTGAAGTGCCGATGATGTCATCTAGCCATACGAAGAGAACTCCACGATTAAACAACTCACCTCAGAGAACATAACACAACCAAGATGATGGATATACATTACTAAGAAGCTTCAATAATCATAGGACAATAATCAATCCAGTCAGTCAGTACCGAATCTAAGTGCGCTCACTAACCTAAACGAAAAGAAACGCTTGGATCAACGTATGCACTTGATATTTATTCACAGAAAAGCTTGTAATAAGATCTTTGTATTACCAGTACTAGTTAAGTAGTATATCTACAATGCTGAGATACGTCAACTGGAGTATGATTTTCCAGCTACTATGGGTATACCTACTTCATAACCCCAATATGAAAATGAAATCTAAGTCTGGGCACTTCCTAACTAATCCTGAACAATAGCGAACGAATGGAGCTGATCAAGACGATAAATATCTTTCCTGTAAATTTTAATTGACAAAGCAAAGAAAATATTCTACAATATATTCTAGCATTGTCTAATGGTACAAACAACGTCAACTGTTAAGGTAAATATGCACTAGACAGCCTTTAATGGTGTGTTGAAAGGCAACCAGTTCATATGTATTATGAATATAGTTTACCCATCTCGCAGCCGATAATACACTTATGTGCACCACAGTCTTTATTCTTCATTGCAACGCTATATCATCATTGATTGTGCGAGGACTAAGATGATGTCTGGATGCCAGGTCGCAGTAGTTGAGTGTGTTAGGCGACCCCTCTTACAGCTTGTGACTTTGAGGCAGTGAAGAAACGTCAGATGGCCGTAACCAGAGTAGATCCGTACTCCATTTGTTCGTCGTGGAATCTGGAACCTACTGGTTTGGAATCGCGGTATTTTAATCCCACTAGATGAATCTTCCATATCCACCAATGCAGCGATAAGCACACGATATTCGCTATTAGCTTCCAACTTTCGTGGAAGTGTCTGCACTATGGTAAATAGGATTTCTCTAACAAAGGTGATAAACACGTAACATATGAGACGAACAAGTTCATCTTACCAACTATCATACCACGGTCTTACACGTTGAGAACGCTTATAGAAAAAAGTGTTGAATGTATTTACCACAAGGAAGATAACAATATAATACAGGGATGCACTCAGTACGATCATAGGTGTTGAAATAGTTGAAGCAGTTTGAAAAGTGTAGTATGCTGAATTTTATACAAATATTCGCCCAATATTGAAGATTTATGGGTAATCATTCTGGTCACCATAACAGTTAAGGTAGAAATGAAACGCAGTGAAAAGCAGGAATTATTTACGCACTATTTGCAGTCGAATGGTTGAACACTTTTAATTGTCATGTGACAGTTATATTATTTACTTATTCAGTGATGCAGACGTTTATATGTTACGATGCCTTAGATATGCATAGAACATTATTCATTTATGGATTATTAAACAATCGTTTTGCGCCTTTCCTATATCATGACCAGAAGTTCATTCCTTCCCCTTTTCTTCAAAGTGATTCGCTGACTGGTTGATCCTTGCTTTTACCACGTCAATGTTCCAAAATCTGGACAAGGTCATTTGTCATGAGTATATATACACGTGCTTCAGAATATTTTAAATCTTTTCGTAGACAACAAATTTTGCTATACAGATCAACCTTTTTCCTCTCTCTTCTCTGGAGTCGGCGGTACCTGGAGTACGAGTTAGCTGTTAGTTAAAAGCGTACGCACTATATAAGACTCAGGAGCATAACACGTCCAACTAGTAACTATACCATCTAGGCATTGACAGGTGGTGAATTATTATTAGGAGATTAATAAAAAACGCAAACAGTGTGCGAGTAGTTCACTATCCTACTTGTAAGGTTATCAACAACAAATATCACTCAACTTGAATCAGAATTGCTTCAGATGAGAAATAATCACTAAATGCTTCATCTTTTTACACCACTGAAAAGTATGTAATGATCAGAAATATATTTTCACTATCAACTAGACAAACCAACCCGGCACAAAAGTGCATCAGTACAAGTTTCTACACTTCACAACATCATCCAAGGAGGAAGTGGATAAATAAAGAGTGGTATTAAATTAGACGAAAGTGTATGAAAGGAGAGAGAACAAAAATATTTGATGACTAGTGAGACTGTTCAAGACCCCATTATGATCGATTTTCGACCATATCATGAAGAGTCTCCAACCACTGATTCCCATCCTCTCAAGGACCCCGAGCAGGCAGTCTACACCTCCATGCACGACTCAGAACACTTATCAAAGACTTCAACAACTGGTGCCACATCTTAATCTGATCACCTCTTGCTTTTTTCCGACCTAATTCCACTTCGAATGATGTCACGCACCGAGTTAAGCGGTGGATCATCATGCACAACACATATACAAGCCATTTCGTCAACTAACATACCTTCCTTGTCTAGCACTTTAAGCCTAACTGTATCACTCTTGGTACGATAAATCCAACAGACATGCACAATGCTATGAAGGCACCTATGATCGAAATCCTGTAACATTCTCAAACCTATTTTCGACATCTATATCGTACGGTTATGTAGTGGGATAGAGCGAACTGCAGAACAGTAAATTACTCCTTCCAATTAGTAGTTAACTGTCTCGCCGACGCCAGAGATGACGTAAGCTGACAAATGCTAAGCGGATGTTTTGTATTCCAGCCAAGATTTTGTCAGCAGGTTATTCATTACCAAACAACAATTAACTGGTAAATACCGACTTCCAATAGCTTACTTTTTCAAAATTTATTCATAACACAGTTTTTTGTAAAACATAAGGCCTAGCAGTTTCTATAAAATTCAAATTACTTTTCCCGATAATATTAGGGTAATTATCAGACTGAAAACCTTTATAGACTATGCATTTAAAAACACAACTTTATTTTAGATAAAGTGCTCAAATGGTTAAAAAAGCCGAAGCCTTCAAACCAACTTATTGCATCCTACGGAATTTATGTAAGCAAGTCCAAAGCCTCCTTTTCTACAGTAAATTTTTATGAAAGGTCTAAACCATCCATATTTAGTGGAAGTTCTCATAGCATTACCACCATGTTGGTCAACAAAGATCTGATAGCATGACCTCTTTTCCATCAATCTGAAAACTACTTTCTTCCCTTTCCTTCGCTCCTTTCATATACGTACTACAATTAGGCCCTATTAATCAACTTGTTACATCCTCCAGTACTAAAAAACCTCAAGATTGTTTTTCAGGCTTTGACCTACCGTGGTTCTTAAAGTATCTACCAACGTCATCATGCTGTTTTAGATGTTGTTACCATAACTTTTATCGTAACTGCTGTCACATCCTTGTTATTGTTGAACAATCCACATTCTTGTTATCGTTAACTAAGATTGGTTTATACGTTAGATAAATGTAGAGTGATGTATGTTATATATTCAAGCAAGACCTTAGGAGGATCCAAGTGAATATTGATTGATTTCAAAGTAGTTTTCAGTATGGATTGATATCAGTTGAAAAGCCACTTAAACTCTGGGAGCAATGGATAACCACCTGGTCCTAGACTGAGACTCTTCAAGAGTGTGTACCCACTACCATGTAAGGGAGTAACTTCAGGACCATCGTGTCTCACGGTGATCATGTTTTCATTCAGCTACCGCAATAGTCCAAATGTTCATGGGACCATGATATAATTTCATACGAAAGTATTTATGATGGATGGTGGCTAGCAATGGGATTCAGGAAACACGTTTCTCCTTATTTAGGACTCGTTAGGTGGAACTACCTACCTCCGAAGGAGCAATTTTGCTCCCACTAAAACTCAAGACCGATTGCTTCATACGCCAGAGCGTCGTTATCTACTGGGGCCACTGAGTTATGATAGCTACTTCTCGTACAATGGCTACAGTTTTCAAGCTGTTGCTTGTTTTATCCTATCATTGATTGGACCAAATTGATCAGTCTCTATTGGCATATGGGAGATGGGTACATCTATCTCACGAGTCCTAAATAGGACGAAATATGCGTCCTGTATTCCACTGCTGCCCACTATCAATCATTATCACAAGATTGAAAAGACAGACAATATCCAGACATCCGCGCGCGAACCCATATGCCAATAGAGACTGATCAGTTCGGTCCAGTTAACGATGGAATAGTAAAAACAGCAAAGTATTTATCCTTACATTTGTAATTCGTAAGGTCAATCAACTGACAGGCGCAAGAAATGTTTGTCACTGTTTTCAATCCAACCCAACGGCTGAATGTCAACGTGCTCCATATGAGATATGCTAGTCCTGAGCTCTACGCTTTACAAAGTAGGTCATCGGTGCACAGCACTGAAGGAAGAAACAACGATCCAGTGCCTCAAGTTTTCAATGACTCTCCAACTGATGTCAATCCATCAAGAAAATCAATTTGCAAACAATACTGCTCGTTTACATTGCCTGTTTTAATTCTGAGAATGTCACTTTTGTGCTATGTGAATGCCATAA